ATGACTCTATGGTTGAGAGAGAAGACAATAACTTAATGATCCCTATTAATTTGATTGCATTTACAAAGTACAAGACATTGCACAATTGAAGATTAAAAGATGTCCTTATAGATAAGATTGGCTTTCTTGATCTTTAATTAGTCAACTTTTAGTTTTCTAATTAGAGCTGTCTGGGTTATTCTTATTATTTATTTTTTTCCGTAATGTATTTATATTTCTAATAAATAACAATTAAAGTTTATGCATTGCAAAGCTTGAAAAATGAATTTGTCAGTAATTCAAAATACAAAGATGGTAAATTTCTCATGAAAAAATTGTCCCCTATGCCCCCATGGCTCAATAGGAGAAAGTTCCCATAAATGGGAATGGCTATTCTCAACAATGGATGTCCACATGAGGACCCATTTTTTTCTTTTTAGTGCAAAACGAGTGAAATGACGTGACTTCAATCCCCTATGTGCTGCAGTTTTACGCTAGATTTTGCAAATAAATAGATAATCACACGATTAAATAGATTTTTTTTTTAAACAAACCAATCAAACATTGCCACGTATCTCAATGACGCTCAGGATAAACTCGTTTAAATTTCCACCACTTTATCAAACAGCTAATTTTTACTAATTATTAGCATTCCGTACAAACAACTGCTTCTTTTAGATCAATAGCTTAAAAATATGTTTGTGGTTCAATTTTGAAATTGATTATAAATTACACAATTAAATTAATTATGACAAATTAGGGTAAATTTAAAATAAATATCTAATGACATGGAATTAGGACCCTTTGATTTTGATCCATGCGAAGACCAATCAAAATGAGGGCCCACGTAAATAGGGCATATAAGGAAAAGCATGCATTGAGCGTGGTGCACGTGAATTTCAATTGGGCTAAGGCCTTGGTGGGGCCGCCGTGAGGGTGGTGGTGGGGCGTGGGGATTCATCAACTGATGACATTCTAGAACTTTCTCACGCGCTCTATTTGGAGAGACAAAGAGTTGTAATGTGTGATCGAGAGTTTCTTACATGCACTTGAGTGTACACACTGATACATACAATTAAAAGTACACTACATTTTTTTTTTTATTATTATTATTTTTTTTTGCTTAGGTAAATTTTGCATATATGGAATTACCGATATATGATCAGATATAAATGGGTAATGATACGCATAACCATTTGAATTAATACACAAAGTATTTAATAGATGGAGTACAAGTACTTATTTATTTTTGAGGAAAACGAATGGCGTGTCTTATATTAATAAAGTGTCCATTAATACATATGGAAATACCTCACAAGGATTATGGTTCTCCCAAATTTGTTCAAAACCAAAAGGCACAATACGGGTTAAATGACGAGCTACACTATCCCTTTCCCGCTTAACATGACACCAATAGATAGAATTAAAAGATTATCAAGATCAGTGATCTTCCAATCAAAGTTTGACAATCCGACTATATTGATGTCAAACAATGATAAGTTCGTTATAGAGTATTGAGTATTAATTTAAGAATACATGATAAATTCACTTAATCGGCTATATTGCCTATATATTGATGCTTAATAATGATTACATTAGTTAATGTAAGCTGAATCCAAACTACATGGACCTTGAATCAATATTACTCGTAGTACTGAATACTGACTACATAAAAAAATAAAAAATAAAAAATAAAAAATAAAAAATAAAAAAGGAGAGGGTCGTCATTTAATATCAGAAAATAAAAATGAAAAGAAAAAGGAGGAGAAATGAAAGTCTCTGACACGGTATTTAGCGGGACAGTATGAGCATCTGTCACCCCTTTGCGTTTTCGATTTCTCATTGGTCTCATTGTACGGACGACGTTGACGTTTTTCCTTAATATACATACACTATTCCTATTACAGTATTTTCCTCTTTTTATTTCACCTCTTTTTTTTGACACAAATTTCACCTCTTTATTACAGTATCATTTGCCACACTTTTTAAAAATCAAAAATACTTCAGTGAAAAATTTCTTCATATTTAAGACTAGATAAAAGTCCGATGCAGGATTTTTTCATCTAAAATTTTTAATTATTTGATTTATTGTATTTAATAATTTCAGATAAAATTACAAAAGTTTAATATTTTATTTTTTCTTACTATAATTTATAATGAATTTTTTAAGTATAAATAAATTGTAAATATGATATTTTTTCCGTTATATAAAATCTTTGATGTGAAATGATAAATTTTTAATAATTTAAATCATAAATCATTATTCATTGTTTTACCATATCTTTTATTTGGGTAGAATCACCAATCTCGTCCACAACCAACCTACTACATTAATGGATAATTTGAACCGTGAAATGTTAGCCAAACTGAAATTGATATAAATTAAATCTTTACATTTATATAAAATAAATCAATATATTTACCCATAAATGAAAAATTGTTGCGATATAAAATCAAATCTATGCATTGGAATTTTTTCAATCATCTCAAAAAATAACTAAAGTCATCCATATATTAAGTATACGACATCTAATCGTATGTCATTACATAAACAAATAATCGTTAAGTATCCTAAATAAATACAATGTAACTAATAATTACAAATATAAATTTAAACATAAGATTTTAAAAATTACCCGAACATTAATGACCTAAAACAAACACAAAATTACTAACACAAAATTCGCTTGATGGGGTTTTGTATTGATACGAAATTTTATTTGTGTTGTATGATGTGTTAGATCTGCATGTAAAAAAACATTAAGTAAATAAAACATAAACATATAATCGTTGAGTATCCCAAATTAATACAATGTAAGTAATAATTAGAAATACTAATTTAAACACAGGATTTTAAAAATTAAGCTAAAAATCACCCAGCTATTGGTGCCAAAAATTAACACAAAATTACTAACACAAAATTCACTTGATGAGGTTTTTTATTGATACGAAATTTGTTTGTGTAGTATGATGTGTCAATTTATAATGGTTGGTATCACAAATTTTAATTAATTTTAATAAACGAACAATTTGTATTTCTTATCATAAATACTATCAAAATTTATCTTATAATGATAGGTATCAAATTTATTATAAGGGTTTATCATTTAAATATTTATTAGTATATTTTTTTTTGGATTTCTTATACTCGTAGTATTGAATTAATAAATTTATCTTTTTCTATATTTTTACTTTATTTGTTTTCATTAAAATAATTTAATTCGTGGATTATAATTTACGTGGCATTAAAATTTTAGATATATCAAATCTAATTCGTTACTCTTATCTAGGTGGCGACATAATTTTTTAATTCAAAAATAAAATACAAATCTTTCTTCTTATTGGTCGAAATAAGTATATTTCTTACGTGGCGCTCCGAATGCTCTAAAAAATGTCGGCTAAACAAGTTATTAATTCTCTCAAAGGAGTTTTTTTTTTTTTGTTTTTCCCCATTTTTTTATTTTAACAAACACTACAAAAAAAAATACTCCCTCAATTTTTTTTATATAGTTACGACACTTCTCTTTTCACGCTTGTCGATGCATGCTTTCAATCGTTAATATGTTTAATTACTAATATGTAAAAATTATAAATATTTGATATTAAAGTAGTATAAATCGAGACGAATCTAACAAGAGCTCACCTGATTATATTTTTTGCATAACTATAAATCATTAAAGCTAGTTAAAGTGGAACACATAAATAGTATAAATATCAGACTGTTACAACTATAAAAAAACGGAGGAAGTATGTATCTAGTTACACTCTTTCTATTTAATTACTTATTTATATCTAAAGTAATGGGTAATTAGTGTTTCAAAATTAATTATCTCATTTATACTCCGTATGCATTAAATTTTCTCATTTATGTATTAACTTAAACATAGTGTGAGATTTTTTTCAAAAGCATTTTTAAAGGGTCAAGGATACTTTTTTTTTTTTTTTTTTTTTTTTTTTTTTTTTTTTTGTAGTGTCTTCCCGTCTTTGTCTAATTAGTTTTATTCAAAACGTTTTATAAAAATTTCTTAATGCTACATCCAAAAAAAATTAGTGTTATGTAATTTGAATAATCCATTGAATAAAAATCAGTGCTGTGTGGTAGTTTCATATCTATCAACAGAGTAAATTGTACGGTATTTATATCGTTTGATTTATCCATTCAATAAAATCAGTGCTGCTTTAGACTATTTCCATGTCGAATCCAAATTCTATTGCACAATACACATTGAAGCATTTTCTTAAATTAACTTCTCCACTACTATTTACAAAATTATAATTCAACGGCACACTAATACATTTATCAACCGCACAACAAAGGATAATCTTAAGTACAAAAATCAATTTCATGAAAAAAAATATCATCAAATTATTTACACAGTTAATTTATCGACATACTAAAAAAATTGGATGCTCTTATCCACTCTCTTAGAAATAAGTTTATCATCACTATTATACCAATAAAATGCGTAAAGACGTTCTATAATTAATTTACATTACATTATCTTTAAAAATCTTTAATTAAAAATTACAACAAGTGAAAAATAAAATAATACAAAGTAAATGAAAAATGGATTCCCTCAATATCTTAATTTACCCACTTTCTCATTTCTCTAAATTTCCAGAAATTGCATGATTCCCATTTATACACCTCCTCCCATGTTTTCAAATAATTGCTATTTCCACAAATCAATCTTATCTCAACCCTCAGGTTTGTTGGTACTTCCATTAACAAATCTAGCAACAAGGTTTTGTCAAAACAAGCTAAAGTTTGAGGTTTTTTTTACTCCTTTTGAGGTAAAATATTAAACACATCAAGGTTAGATAATAAAAAACTACAGTAACTTTTTTTTCTCTTTAGCTTTTTTACCTACTTGTTGGTTAGATATAGCAAACCAAAACTTTCCTTTTCATTATTACAGTACATAAATAGGGGTTTTGTATTTTGAACAACTTGTTCATTTTTTTTTTTCAAATTAGTAAAAAATGGCATTATTTCTAGAGAGAGAAAGTATGATGAAAATGGAAAGGTGGGTCTACTGAGAGAAAATTATATAACCCCATTGATAGTTACTACCAAAAAAGGCAACTCATTTTCACAAATAAACCCATTATAAAGCTATTTTAAAGAATAAATCAATCACAACCACCTGCTTTCTCTGGTTTATACCCAGAAAAATTAAAAATCTCAACAAAAAAAAAAAAAAATACAAAAAATGGGGTGGTGTCAAATTTCTCTTTTATAAATATTTATATATAAATATAAGTTTTTATATTTCTTGGATTTTTTTTTTTTTTTCATCTGGGTTTAGAGATCCATATTTTCTGGGTTTTTATAATTTTTAGTAGAAAATATAAACATATTTTGGTAAGTCAACTGTTGAGTTATATTTTTGGTTTTGGGTGTAAATTATGTTGTTCATAGAAATTGATTGAATTTTATTTATTTTGTTCGTGGCCGGGTTCGACAGAGGAGAAGATGGTGAGGGGTAAAACACAGATGAAGAGGATAGAGAATGCGACGAGCAGACAAGTGACGTTTTCGAAGCGTCGAAATGGATTGTTGAAGAAAGCTTTTGAACTCTCAGTTCTTTGTGATGCTGAAGTTGCTCTCATCATTTTTTCTCCTAGAGGAAAGCTTTATGAATTTGCAAGTTGTAGGTATGTTTTTTAATTTGCTTTTTTTTTTTTTTCAATATATTGTGAATTTACAAATTTATTTGCTGATTATATCATTAAATGAGAAATTAGTAAGATCGTTAGATTTGGAAATAGTATCGGTTTTGGTTATTGGTTAAGGATAGTCAGATAAGATTGCGTACATCTTGACTTTTTTTTTACCCAATAAAAAAGGGAGTGGATATATACTAAATAGATCTTTCATTAATTGGGGGTCGTTTGTATGAATTTTGTTTGTAGAATTTTGGAATTTCAAACATTTTTTGTCAAATTTTGGGAAAACATTTTGTCAATATTAGGGTTACTGTACTATATTCTAGTTACACTCCCTTTAGGGTTGAAAGGTTTTTTCATCAATATTTTGCTTCATTCCAAACTAACTGATGTGTTGTATCTTTTAATTTGCTGGGAAATTGCATTTAATCTTTTGTGTTAAGATGTTAAATAATCTGTCATTAATTCATAGAGAAATTTTATAAGGAAAATCAGACCAAGATCAAAAAGTGTAGTGGAGAATTATGACTTCTTCTTAATTAATAATCAATGGTGGGGATTATGTTAATTCTTTTTTTTCATTATATCCAATAGATCATCAACATTTGTTTCTAATTATTGAATGAAGAATTAAGAATAAAGTTTAGTATAATCAATAATATTTAATGAGGCTAGTGCATTTACCATTTCATCTTCAATTCCTTCTATTTCTTCCATTTTTTCCCCTTAATTTACCTAAAAGTCAAATGTACTAGCACAATGGGTACAAAAGTAAAATTAATTCAGAAAAGGAAAGTCAAAATGCTCTTAATGAGCTATAGGATCATTGATTCATTGTAGATAATCTGTTTTTGGCTCATCATGATTCACTATATTGATGGGAATACTTACTACACATTAATAGATAGAGGGGGTCAATTTTATTTTCAATATAGGTAAGTTTCATTCCGTTAAAAAGTCACATTTATTTTTAGTGTTCCCTACGTTCCATATTATAATTCCTGCTCTTTCCTATTTTAGAGACCTAAAATGTTGTTCCTGATTCCATTTTTAGATAGTATGTAAATACTATTATACCTTAATTTTTTTTAACTTTATTCATTGAACTTTTTAATTTACCTTTAAATTATCCACCTGTTTTGTTCTTTTTTCCACTTTCTCTCTCTAACTTTTGTCTATAATGTATTTTTCACTTTTTTTTCCCTTAAATTATCCACTTGTCTGGTACTTTTGTTTAATTTTTGTCCACTTTTAATATACTTAATCCACTTTTTCCTCCCATTTATTAAATACCGTGAAAAAACACAAATAAGAACTATATATTGAGACAGAGGGAGGAGTATTTACTTTCGTACTTCACTGCATTCAAATTTATGGACTCTATTACAATTAGCTAGTTTTCTTAAACATGTCCACCACATAACTACAATTTAGCCTACATAGACATAGTCAATCAACTTATGCTATTTTATCATTTCTTATACACTCACCTTATCAAATTAGTACCCACATTAATACAAGCGGGACAATTTATGGTCACTCGTACAGGTGACCATTTGGTGCACTGTCAAATTAATGGTTGATCTATTGGTTGTCCTATGTTAACAGAATTTTTTTTGGGCGGACATGGTTAAATTACTTGATTGGAATTCTAGGTAGATGAAACATGTAAATAATTGAACACTATTGATGAAACCGGAATCGTTGTCAAACCTTTCCTAGATGTGTCGCGGGTTTGCATTAGTGCTTGTGTGAAGCTTTGGCTATGGTTGTAGCTTGGTGAGCGCTTTGTGTGGGGGTCAAATGTGAAAGAGAATGGCGGAAAGAACCAATGGTGAAAGTATTATAACATATTTAAGCTCATGTAGTCACTTGTATACAAGCACAAAGTATATAAAATTTACATATTATGGTCCTATATTAAGTATATACCTTTTTACTTGTTCTTATTAAACTCTCAGTCAAATGAAAAGATTACACTTGATTTCTTAGTTTCAATTAGATAAATTAATACAAGGACATAGTAAAAATTGCCTTGAGTCTCTTGATTTTTTGTACATACTCCTAGTATATTAATTCAAAGATTTAAAACTGTATGCACTCCATGTGTTATGATTAGAATAAAAACATGTCTGAAAAAATGAAGAAGTTCATAAACTCTTGTTAATTAGCTTTATTAATGATGTAATTAATCACACAACCCCAGGTATATTTGTACTCCTTGAATATATATAATATGAAAAATTTGATTCCAAATCATATACAAGTAGTAAAAAAGGATAAGGATAGGTCATTTCTGAACTGACAAAGTAAGGGTCCATACATTATTTTTGGTAGAAACAATGTTCATGTACTTCTTCCAGTCTCCTAAATGGAGGAAATTATTATATTTTTCTAAAAAATAACAAAGGAATTACTAATAATTTACTTGTATAGATATAGAAAAATATATAAATCGTACAAAATTTGAGTGTTATTCCTTGCTTTATAAAGGGGGGTAGTACAAAGTTGCTGCTATCAGTGTTTCCACGCTCCCAGACAAACCCATATTTGGTAAGAGTACATTTTTCGTTATTGTAGAGTTGCCTTTTAAGGAGATCCAATGGGTAGGTAAAAATAATTTGTAGTAATTTTAGTTTAAAAATATCGAATTTCTCAACCTAGAAAAGATAATTTAGAGAAGGAATGAATATGATAAAATATGTTGTTATTATGTTAATAAAAAACTATATCATTGCTAATATATGTTTAGTGAAAAAAGGTTTAACGTCTAAACGGAGGGAGTATTTGTTTAAAAGTAATATATATGCAATTCCATAGAAGTGAGTTTAGATAATAGATGTCTCCTTCGTATCGGTATTGTCAACTTCAGTATTTCACCTAAAACTCATCTCAACTTGTTTGAAAGTATCGAATTCATTGTCAATAGATATTATGATGTGGAACTAGACCACATTATTCTTATATATTCCAAAAAAAGAAGTGGTAAGTTCTTGCTATTTCTATACTTTTTCCCTTCCTCAAATTCTTTCTCCATCAACACATCATATTACGATTACTGTTTTTACAAACGTCAGTCACCCTATCCATCTAGATTAAATTGTCACGTTGCTAGTTTAACTTTGATTTGATGAGATTTATTTTTTTTGTTATCTAGATGAGAATATGAGATCAACCTCAGCTCTAGTATGAGAGTAGACATATTGACATTGTTAGCACAAGAAGCATTTTGATTGGCCGAGTACGCACTTAAGTTCAACTTTTCATGATTTTGTTTGGAGATCGATTTAAGATCATAGTTAGTTGTACTCAAACTACTTTGTGGCTATGATTTTGAGAGCTTTGGCTAGGCATGAAATGACACCACTTTCATCTTTACAACCAAGCTAGGAAAGTAATGCACGTTCATATGACGTGTTTTGCTCCTTTACAAATTAGGACCCTACTTCTCATTTCATTCTATCTTAGAGCTTCTTCTGTCAACCACACTTGCTGGCTACATAGCTGATTCATTTGATACTGTTTCATGATTTCGCGTAATTCAGCTTAAGACTCAATCTTTTATTTGTTTGTACAATTGTTGCATTTTGCATTATGTTACTTACCTTGGTGTGTAATTTGTTCTAGTTTTAAGGTCTAGCGTGCATTTGATCTAAATCCATGCAGCAAATCCGTTGATTAACAGGTTAATAATATAATGAAATTCTTTAAGAGTTCAAATTTCATCCTTTTAACTCTTGTTTGATAAACCAAATGGTCATTAAAAAAACCATGGATTAGGCTTCTGCCATTCAATTTCAACCTTTATAAATTATATGCATCTTTTAATCTTGCCACTTTAAAGAGTTGAAGTTAAAGTTAAAGATGGTGGCCTATGGTTATGATAGTCGTGCTAACTTCGTGTAGAAAGTTGTGGCCGGAGGAGAGAAAGAAACATGAAGAGGCTCCATTACCTTATAGTTTATACACATCCATCTAATTTATCAATGACATTTACAATACGTGCACTCGAATTGACACATAAGTACTTAGGCTCTCAAGAAGAGCAAGCTTTCTTATCATTCTGTATACATGTTAGCTTAGTTCTTCTAGAAGAACCCTAGTAATCATATGTTGGTTTATGATATATTTTTGTAATTTTTTTTAATAGCTGGTAACTAAGTGTAATGGATGAAAACCTTCTTAATTAGTATGCAGGATACAATAGGACGATATCAGAGGCACGTAAGAGAAGTCCAACCTGCCAGAGAAGCATCTGCTGAAGAAAATATGCAGGTTTATTTAGCCTCTTCTTTAATCTTTTATATCATTGTTCATGAAAATTACTTTGTATAATATAAGGAAAAGATGTCACAAGTTTACCATACTGCATGGATCCGCTATTAGCTGTGACGTCAATGTATCATGCAATATAATGTTAGCTTGATCTTAGACTACTACATGATCAAGTTGGACTGTTATTGATGTGGTTTCCTGTAAGTAATATGGCCAGCTACCAACCTCGGACCGCCTACTCTACAAGCCAGGGCCTGTAAACTATGTGCTGAATGAAAAGAATAAATTGTTGTTCATTATCACTGTACGCATCATAAGTTTCCTGATGTATGTGCATTTTTCATTAGCAATATTTTAGTTTTGATCAACTATTTATATTCAAATGACTACTTAGTTCGTCAGCCCTAGCCCATATTCAGGTTACATTATATTCTATGGTCAGCCATAGTACTTATTTGACAGTTAAATTCTCTGTAGAAGTAGAATAATGCTGCTTCTAAACTATGTACGAAGTATTAATTTTCCATAAAATTGCAGAACTTAAAGGAAGAAACCGCGACTTTGGTGAAGAAGATAGAGGCAGTTGAAGCTTCAAAACGGTAGATAATATTACATTTCACAAATAATTTGACAACTCGAACAACAATTAATGTTGATTACTGTACTGCTGTATTATTTTCAGGAGACTCTTGGGAGAAAATTTAGGGTCATGCAGTTTAGAAGAGTTGCAGCAGCTAGAGAGCCAGTTGGAAAGAAGCGTTAGCAAAATCAGAGCAAGAAAGGTTATTTTCTATAATTTTACTTGCCTATTTTTTTAATAAATTTTGTCTGCTTCTTAGTTTAATAAGTTTGTAAAAAAAAAAAAAAAATAGTTTAATTTGTTACATATGTTGTGTTGTTACAGAATCAAGTTTTCAATGAACAAATAAAGCAGTTGAGAGAAAAGGTACTTTGTTTATTACTGTGATTAGTTCCATCTTTTCAAAATGTAATATGAGATTTATTTATGAAGGATTTTATGTTAATAAATGATGATTTTCTGTAATGACAGGAGAAATATCTTGCTGCAGAAAATACTAGGCTTACTGAAAAGGTGAGCTCTTTTTATTTATATTATGAAACCATGGTACTGTATTATTGGGCCTACATGCAAATACGCAAATTAAACCACCTTGTCAAGTACTTGGTGGTATGGAGTATGAGACTCGAACTTAGGATCTCAAAGTTTCGAGTTGGGGGTTGCTCCAGCTCCACCTATTTCTTTCGTCCTCTTTGTATAAACTTGTATATGAAATTAAATGAAGGTGTTGCATAATGATTTATATAATACGGTAATAAAATTGACAGTATGAAACGCTGCCAAAGGAGTCAAGATCGCAGCCAATAATAGCAGAAGATGCATCACCATCTGAAGATACAATTAGCCAAATTTCGGACGTGGAAACAGATCTTTTTATTGGATTACCAGAGAGCAGAATTAGGCGTCTTACTAATGCATAGTTGATTAAATTGGCTGGTTTTAACTTCATTAATATGATTACCAGCTAATTTATGAACATTATGCTTCGATTATCGTATAATATATAGTTTCAGATCGGATGAGCAATGAGCGATGATGTATGAGGTTAAGGTGTATGTACGATTTCATGCATGTGGCACTTGAATCATCTAAAACTTTGTATCATCTAGGAGTTTTTTTTTTTTTACTCACTAAATTACTACCTCGATCTCTATGTCCCTAAATTATTTAAGTATATATTTATAATAGTCTTATTTGATTGTCTTATTATAGATCTTCCATTTTCAACCTGCGTAAATTAAATTGTAAAATTCGGAAATTGATTCCATTAGTACAATCTTTCGATAATATGTCACTTTTTTTTTGTTCAAATTTACATGGATCATTCAAAAATCTCCAATAAAGTGAATGACGAGTTTTAAAGGAGAATACAATGCAAGTAATCAAACAAGCAACTATTATCAATATTTTTAGTTGATTATACTTTCTTTCTTGTTTGTATCTTTGAGTTAGTTACACTTATCAATATTTTTAGTTGATTATACTTTCTTTCTTGTTTGTATCTTTGAGTTAGTTACACTTCATCTTTTATTTGTAACAAGTTTTTACATTAATTTACCTCCTTACCCTATACAACAGTACTAACATGCATATATTCAATAATAATGAAAAAAATGTTTATTTTAAGTTTTAATGTCTTCCATTTGCACAATTGCACCCATGAATGTGCTTTTATACTCTCTTCTTCAACCTGAATAAGCACGCAAACAATAACGATAATTAAGTCGTGAAGATGGAAACTGGGTTTATTATATATGAAGCATTTAACTCTATTTAAGCTAGCTACCTTCCCTAAATTAAAACACATTCGAAGTTAATTGGGTCATGATACATACATATATATAATTTACGTTTTGATGATAGAAAGTCTTATATTACTAGTATTTTGCAAATGTCTCAGTAGTCAAACAAATCGAATACTTCGTATCATACAAATTTTATCAATATACAACAGGATAGTATCCATATGAGGTTACATTTTATTTGTGTTTTTCAGTAAGAATTTATAAAAACAAAAAAATTTAGTTGTAAATTGAACTTGAGTTGATGATTAAAATTTTGCAAGTTAGGCCCTAAATGATTTAATTTAGTTTAGATAAGATATTTAAAATAAGTTATGATAATAAGTTCATATTAATTTAGAGAAAATGATGTTTTTATCTAGACAATTTCATACACAATTAAATTTAGATAAGTTTATAAGTCTAAATTAGTAATAACTAAGCTAACTTATCATTTGAATTTATTAATATCCATGAAAAAAATAAGTTTAACAAAATAAAGTTTGATGTCACGTGAATGGGCCTAATGGTAACATTTGGTTCATAACTTAGCTTCATGTTGAATGATTATATGGATTTAGGTCGATCAATACTTGATTGAGGACTATAGTGTTAGATTGACCTAACAAGATTATACTACTCCGTATGATATTTCTATTTTCATTTTAAAATGCCATAAACTTTATAAAAAATTGTATAGTTGATAAGTATAATAATCATTTGTAGTCAAATCTGACCTTATAAAATTCAAAGATCGGAGTACTAATGACTGAATGCACTTATTGCCAAAAAAAAAAAAAAAAAAAAAAAAAAAAAAAAAAAATATTTATAAAAATTCAACCTAACTCTAAATACACCCGAGTGCATATAAATTTCACTAAAACCTCTCATGTTAGTACTTTTTTTTTTTTTTTTTTTTTGAAAGGTCTCATGTTAGTACTTAAACAAAGGAAAATATGCATGTACCCTTGTTGTACCAAACAAAACCTCTCACAGTTATTGATTATAACACCCTCACAGGATTGGTGCAATTTTGGCCCCAATTTCTTTTTTCTCTGCACTAAATTTCCTGTCTTCTTCCCAAACTCAACAAAATCTGTCAATCTATCTTCTTTTTGAATATCCAAAAATTCCCATTATTTTCTTTCTATTTCTAAAGGCGATTTTAACTAGAATTCCTCACTCTAATAAGTAAGAAAAAAAAATGTGGGAATTAAAATGCATAACCCCAACTTCAACTCCCACTATTTTCACTTTCTCTCAACCCCAAACACGCCACTCTCTCACTCCTCAACCCCGCCGTTTTCCTTCTCTTTCTGTTAATTGTCGTGCTACTATTGATCAGAAACCTCTCATGTCTGATGACAGAATGCTTGTAATTTCTAATCTTATTCAATGTTTCTGTTAATATTCTTATTGGGTTATTGGAAAATTTCATAATTTGATTTGGGGTTTTGTTTATTTGTTCAATTTTCTCTGTTTTGATTGATGGGTTGTTGTGGGAATTCCTTAATTTTATCTGGGTTTTGTTAGAGTGTTCAATTTCTGTGTTTTTATTGATGGGTTTTTGTGGGAATTCTTTGAATTTAATATGGGTTTTTGTTAGAATGTTCAAATTTTTGTTTAATTTGATTGAAATTTTGGTTCTTTTGTTGCAGGTTTTTGTACCGCCGCATCCGTTGATTAAACATTGGGTTTCTGTTCTTAGGAACGAGCAGACTCCATGCGCTGTTTTCAGTATGTTGATTTTCTTCTTTAATCTATCTTTATTGTAATTTGATTGACAATGCATGCAAAATTTAGTTTTGTGGTATGTAAATTGAGCTCATAAGTGTGATTACTATAACTTAGATTGATTATGCATGCAAAATTTAGTTTATGGTATGTAAATTAAACTCATAAGTGTGATTACTATAACTTAGATTGATAATGCATGAAAGATATAGTTTTATGGTATGTAAATTGAACTCATGAGTGTGATCACTATAACTTAGATTGATAATGCATGAAATATATAGTTTTATAGTATGTATATTGAACTCATAAGTGTGATTACTATAACTTAGATTGATATACATGCTGACTTTAGATTTATAGTATATTGAGCTCATGAGTGTAGTTACTATAGCTTAGATTGTCCGTGCACGCAAAATTTAAATTTGTGATAGCTAAATTGAGCTCATAAGTGTAACTTAGATTGACAATGCATGCAAAACTTAGCTATATGGTATGTAATTGAGCTCATAGGTGTGATTTCAATATGCTGCTATTGCTGCATGTTGAGACTAAGGATATGACTATCTTACTCAAACTCCGGTACTTGTGGTGTTGGACATGGATATTTGTCCAAGTGTCCAATCTCGGTTTTTTGTGATGCAAAGATTTATCTTTTGGTGTAAAATTGAGTGTTAAGTGTCTATAGTTCCATACCCATATTTGAGTGTTAAGGATTCTACATAGATACTTGAGGTGACTTGAAGAGCTTGAGTAACTTAGCTCATAGAATTCAAATGGATTGTATTTGTAACTTGAGCTGATGGTGCATGTGCTTTTTTCAGCATGTTGATTTTCTTCTTTAGTATCAAAATTGGGTTTCGAGGTGAAGTGTTCTTATGCCCAATATTTTGGAATGTTTCCCACCCTTTACAACCAATGGAAAATGGGAAATTTATTTTCCTGGAATGTGTTTTCCATCAAATGAAATGGATCCGTAGAGTTTATATATAGGTGCTGCAACTGAAATTACCTTGAAGGTGATGTCTGTTTTTGAAACTCTAGCCTTTACGGAATTGTGATTATATATCATAAAGAGAATAGAATCTACCAAAGGGGAGGAAGGAAAGGTTTTGTTGATATCTGATAGTATCTAAGAATCCAGTGAAACTAAGACAATATATTTGGGTGGAACTGTTGATAGTATTGTTTAGAGATAGCTGTTTACTGTCTTTTTAGGTACTCATAAAGAGGGTAAATGAAGCAATGTCTTAGATTGGTTGCGTTCAGTCTAATTTCTATGCGGTTCAGAACAGGATGGGGTGCTAGGTCAATATGAAAATTGAAGAACCCAAGAACCAGCAAGAGAGGGAGCGGTATAGAAAGGTGGAAGAATGTCCATCTAGTCTGTTGCTGAAAGATCGTGTGTATAACAGTACATTTGGCTAAAATTTTGCATTGTATATGGATGTAAATGATAGTTCAATTGGAAAATGGAAAAAGCTTAATATTGCTAGTTAATTATACTAGTACCGTTTTGCTTTTGTTGAAAATTTGGGTGTTGGAATTTATTTGTAAATGCAAAAATCTGTGTTGGGATTCTAGATCTTCTTGATTTTTCAGTAATAATAAAGCCAATTTAACGTACTAAAGATCGTCTAGTTAAGCAAGAACTGCACTACTATACACTTGGGAATAATTTGTAAAACAATATAGCTTTCAATGAACAATAAATTTCTCCATCCAACTCCAAAAAGTAGTTCTGTTTGAACGTTGGAATTATGTTAGTTGCAGTTCTCATATATACTATGTATTTCCTCTCCGTAGAGAATGCAATGGGTGAGTTGGGGAGGCTACTAATGTATGAAGCTTCAAGGGATTGGTTGGTGAGTTTATTCCTCTGTGTGATATCTGCATGTCACATATCTTTCTCACATTAATTTTTGTACTCTGATGAACTTTTTTTAGCCTATTATTGCTGGGGAAATTCAAACACCTATCGCTGTTGCCAAAGTTGAATTTATTGATCCAAGGGAGCCTGTGGCGGTGAGTATGTATTGTGTTTTTGTTTTCTTCATTGTTTAACGAACACTATGTCTGTGTAGGAGATGCTGTCTCTGTGTCAGTACTACTGGTAATGACAATGTTGCTTAATCATGTATATTACATTCAATGCTTTTGTATGAGAACAACTAGTTTAGATTTCTTGAAGCTCATATTTGGAGTTGTATTAGTGTACAGATGTAGATTGAATATTTATGTATTTTGGAATTGCCGCAATTGTTGCTAGAGATCTTAATTCCAAGAAAACATACAAAAAACTATTCACTTTCTCCAATATCGACTTTAGATTGTTGCACTTTTGCTCTTTCTTGGTCATTACTATATTTGGAACAGTGTGATGACTACTCTTCACTGCAAGTATCGAGTTTCGGATCTTTAGTATTTCTTCTTGTAAGGGGAGTCATATATATGTAACCTTGTGGTGGCGTTGTAGAGAGTTTCCTTCCAGATATAAATTGGTGGTATTATATGATTGGATGACAGAAGCATCATTAACTTGCTATCCCACTTTTATCCCTGCTTTTCTAGAGAAGGGATTTGGTGTCCTGGGGTTGTTGTTTGGGAAGCAGAGTCGGTAACTTACTACATTTATTTATGGATCATTTTTTTATCTATTGAGTTAACTCACAGTTTGGAAGCTTTTACTTTTGGTGCTTCTTCATTTTGGTATCAAACTGAACAGTTTCGGCTAATCTCTTCAGCATTTTAATTCTGTATTGGACACAGTGAATTGAATGAGTGAGTGTTCACTATAGATGCATAGCAGCTGCTTTCCAATGTCATCATGTGTCAATAATGTCAATTATCTATAATACTGGGATGGATGTTTCAGTAATCAATATATATCCTTGCACAACATTGTTACCCTTGTTGTGGGTTAAAATTCTTGACAAGCAAAATGACCTAAAGCATCTCAAAGAGTTGGTGATCTGAGATTCTGAGCCTCATTACCTTTCTCCGAACAATAGCTTCCTTCCTAAATGCTTTCATTTTTAATCTTGCAGGTTATTCCTATTTTAAGAGCTGGTCTTGCACTTGCAGAGCATGCAGCCACTATTCTACCCTCAATGGCAACCTATCATGTAGGTATGTTAAGTTTATATGATTATATCCACTCGAGTTTAAGGAAAATAGGTGCAGTGATTAGGTTCAAGCAGTAGTTATTTACCGAGGTTCCTTACTACTCTCTTATATAACTTGTTCTGTGTTGTATATGTTTTTCAAAATATTAATGCTCATGTCATGTCTCATGTTAAGGGGTCAGCAGAGATGAGGAGACACTTCAGCCAACTGTCTATTTGAACAAGTAAGATTCTTATCTAAGGATGAGCATACTGTCTTCTGGTCTTATCCAGAAGACATTTTATGCAAAAGGAGAAAGCAGATGGCTATTGGTTTCTGCTGCATTCTTTAGGATCTAGATATCTAATGTTTGAGGCCTAATTCACTATAAATTCACCCCCCAAAAAAAAATCCCATAAAATAAGTGAAGTAAAGAATGAAGTGGGTTAAAGAGAGAAAAAAACCTACCTTTTAAATACTTTTGTTGAGTGTTTGGTGGCTAACAAGTTGTGCTTTTTTGTTCTGCTGCTTTATACATGTAATTGACTTTTGTTGCATATGAGAGTAATTTCTTGAATGTTGTTATGTAGGTGTAGCTTTATTGATCTATGATCTTTTGTATTCTAAATTAAATTTATAGCCAAGGGCATAATGTAAGCCTGAACATCTTGTCTTCCAGGTTGCCGGAAAAGTTCCCTGAAGGAGCTCGAATACTTGTTGTGGACCCAATGTTGGCAACAGGTAATTGACTTTTTATATATTGCTTTGATGCCTTGAGGCTTCAAGGACGCTTTCTTTTGCAATATGCATTAGTATATTTGTTGTTGCTGGTTATTTCATTGTTTTGATTAAAATTGTGCTGGTACAACATGTTCATTCTTTCAGTCCCGCTCTTTTTCTACTCATCAATTTTCCAAGGCCTAGAATCTTCAAAACGTCATGCATGTTATCTATTGGTTCAATATTTCTCTAGCAGTGATGCTTTGAGAGAGATGTGAGAAGCCTTTTAGCATGTGTTCCAAGATGCATACATGTTTATATTTTTGCTAATTTTCCCCTTCCTGTTGATAAACCTCCCTAATTTAGGATGGTGATTATCAATTGACTTGTGTTTCAGTGAAGAGCTATTGTCAGGACTCAGCAGCCATTCAGATTTAGTTTTCAGTAATAAATCTACTTGCACATTATGCTTGTGTTCTTTTAGCAGTACCCATCCTCTGCACCTACAAATTAAAACTGCATCATCTTTTCATTTTCTTTTTTTTCTTCCTTTTGCCAGGACATACAAATCTCTCTTTTCCCTTGCATTAACTCTTATGGTGTACACGTTTATAAACAGTTCTCATTTGAAATTTCAGGTGGAACAATAGTTAAAGCAATCGACCTGTTAAAAGAACGTGGAGTTGGAAACAAGCAAATTAAAGTGGTAAGTTGCTTCAGTTCTCTGAAATTGATGAATTTGACCCATTAAAATTTTCCCTTCTTCGCAATGAATGCAAATTTGTGGTTTTCTTAATTTGAAAAGTGCTTAGCTTGTGTAAACTAAATTTTCCACAGATTTCAGCTGTTGCTGCTCCTCCAGCCCTTACAAAGCTCAGCGAAAAGTTTCCAGGGTATGAAAGTTTTCTTCCTAGTAGTCTATACTCAAAATGAGTAATGTGCGGTTGATTTATGAACTGAACTTTGTCCTCTTAAATTTCAGGATTCATGTATACACTGGAATCATTGATGAAGTTGTTAATGAAAAGGGGTAGGCACTAATTTCTTGCTCTCGCGTAATGATTCGTCTTTACATGGAACCATTATCATAAGGCTTACTAATTCATTTGCTCTACAGGTTCATTATTCCTGGCCTTGGTGATGCTGGAGATCGTAGCTTTGGCACATGAGGCGACTGGAGTTAAATTTTCATGCATCATATTTAAAGTTTTGAGATCTTAGGTTCATGTGATGCCCAGATGGTTTGACTGAATGTTATTGAAGATGGTACATGCTAGATCAACGGCTTTTGTTATTATTATTATTTTCCACGAGCCATGTATGATAATTATGTCTTTGTCTGAACTATTGAGCCTATTTATTAGACTAATCGCTTTCATTTGTAAAACTCTCATTCTTGTACTCTGTACCTTTTTGATGCGTAAATTGTTTTCATTAGCAAACTCACTATTGTAACAAATACATAATCCAAAATAACCAATACACACATAATCAGTTGAAAGTCATGGTAGTACTTTAGCACTCCAAAACACTACTATTCCCATAAGGAACATCAATCTATATACTTACTGCAAGGAAAGAAATCATAGTACGTAACACAACATCATTTTTTTTCCCCTACATAGTAATTGTAATCGCGTTAACACACGTATGTAACACACCAAACACATCAGATTACAGAAGTTAATTTGTCAAACAAAGCATGTAGAGTTATACTTATAGAAAGTATAATAGTGATAACGTATTTGAGCACCATCTTAATCAAAGCAACCACCCTGCCTGATGAAAGTTAGTAGTGTCACTACCCAAGCTAGCTCTTTGACTGCCATTCGACGGTCCTTCATCCTCATGAGATGCAAACTGGGGAGGATACCTGCTCGAAAAAATCCGAACACAAGAGAGAGAATTTAACCGTCTAGAAGTCTAATTTGTTGATGAAATTATATAACAATTAACAAGAACGCGCTTGAAGGATATGCTTTGGGGATAATAACTATATTGAGATCTATGGAGGAATAATTTACGTACCCTATATAATCTAGAACAACTGGCTCGGGTTTGTAGGATCCGATTTGCAAGACAGCGGGATCATACTCGAAATTGGTAGACTGAGAAGGGTGTATGAATTGGATGCAACCATTAGAATTCAAATCCATTGGCCTAAAACCATGTCCATGATCTCCTACCTGCATTCATTACATACACAAAAGATTGAAAAACCAATCACAAACTTCTTTTTTTTTTTTTTTTTTTTTTTTTTTTGTCACCTTTTAAGATTAATGAAAGTTGAAGGAAATTAAACTAACCCTCAGCTTTAATTCCTTGTTCAAGTCTCCAAGTTTGCGCTCCTAGAAAACACAAAACGTTATTGTTAATGACTTAGTTATGGTACTTGTTCAATTATAATCAATACATAATTATGAATAAACAATATTGATAATATATATAAACCGATCCGTATGAGATAACACATCTTTGTAATAAGATTATGAATACTTCATGATCTGAGGAAGATCCTATAACAAAGTGACAGCGTTCTTACCGATCTTCGAAGTGCCTCCATTTGCTCGGTCGTCAGTTGTGCCTATTATAATTCATCAATATTCAGATTACATTTTGCTTGCCAATTAGGTTTATTAAGTGAATATATATGAGACTTATAAATAGGTGAAATTAGTTACATTATTTGATCATATCATTTTTATTTTTTTTGAAAAATATTTGATCATATAATTAAAGTAGCTATGTTAAATTACTCCAATTTCTATCCCTCAATATTAACTACATACATACATATGTTAATATCTAACATAAATCTATCTGCAATTTTTCAGAGATGCTACTATTTTCCAAGTCAAAAAAATTATAACATGTAATTTCCGAATTTTGTAAACAAATTATTTCATCAATCTTGAAAACATGCTCTTAAATTAACGTTTGAAGAATATACCTTCCTTGCCCTAGTCCGAGCAAGAGCTCCTTCAAGCTGCTTCTCAAGACTTTGCAAGTCTTTCAAGCTTAGAATTCCAAGTTCCTCTCCAAGCATTTGCCTAAATTATCAAATAAATCGTCGCATTAAATTAAACATTGTTGCTTAAATTAATTACCACGAATGAGTTCATTATATATGGAAATGACATTAAAATGGACAAACCATTGTTATTTGCAGCAAACAAGCTGTATAAAGTTTACAAATCAAAACTACTAGGTAATTAACATAAAACTACTAGGAATGTAGACCTGTGAGCTCTTTGTAGAATTTCATACTGTGACTCCAAGTTCGCGATCTCTTGGAGCCAGCTCTGTATATAAGAAGTTAAAAGGAGAGATACTTAATATAACATGTATGTGTTGATGCAATTTATAAATATTTACAATTGAATCTATTAGAAAATATTTTGATGCATATATACAAAGTAAAGTAACATTATGGATTAAACAAGACTAAGCAAAATCTAATTAAGGATAACAAATTCTTATGGTGCACTTGCATATATATTTTACACTTTGATTAATTTTCATTTAATAAATTAATGATATGTTTAGTCCAAAAAAATTACGAATATAAACTTTGAATTAAGATTGGTGATCTTATAATTTAGCTAATCTTTACTAGCCTAACAACAAATCATTGGCTTGTTGATCAAAATCAACTAATTCTCAATCAAATTTTATGACAGTGTCAATATAAATCATTCCAAAGAATCTATTAAATTAATTAATTAATCGATGTAGTTTTAACTTAACCTAGCTAACCTTAGCCTTTTAAGAGATCAGTGGCTAATATATCACAAGTTTAGTACACGTTATTTTCAAACCTGCGTCTGAACCTCAATGGCATGGTCTTGGTGATGATGATGAAGATCAATAGTGTTGCCACTACGCTGATACCGTTCGAGGGTCTTCGGAAGGCAACTGCACAAGGCCGAAAATAATAATACAATCACACATAGTAGAAGTCTAATCTAAGTTATTAACAACTACGCCGTACTTGATATGAGTGCTAGTTAGCTATCTTAATTGATTAAAATTAAAAGGTTCGGTATCAAAAAAACAACAAATATAAAATAAATATTCCGTCTATATTACTTGCCTTTTATGACTTTTATGACTATGTCGAGAAATAAAAAGAGAAGTATTTTGCACAAAAAGTGAGCAAACAAGCAAACAATTGCAGAGAGAGAAGCATACACAGAAGAGGGAAAAGAGAAAAGCAACCACTACAAGAAAATCCGAGGAAAATCAAAACAAATTGATCTTCTGACACTATTTATTTCAATTTCAATAATCCCTTTAATTAGTAATTATACTATTCACTCCTTAAAATAATTAGAATAACAATCACATCACAAGCATTACAAACAAGCAATTAGAATTTTGGTAAATCATTCCAGAATTTAGCCCAATAATTCCAAATAATCACAATTATAGTAGCTAAATATTGTTTCATACACCTCTCACATTTTTTACCATTACCATATTTTTTATTTTAAAAAAGTAAAATTTCATAAATTATATTGTTGGTGTAAATTTATAGAATTGTAATTATATCCATTTTGTATTAAGAATTTTATAAGTGCAATGCAAAATTGCAAACACCCAAACAATTAGAAATTTTAAGAAACCCTAGATCTTCCACGTGTCCAATTGCCACTGGTGAAAGTGCTTACTTTTGTTTATTTATTTTTGTTCATCTTCAATGGAAAATGAGGAAGAATTAGATGAAAAAAGAGGGAGAAAAAAGAAAAATAAAAATACTCAATGCTGCTGAACTCATAGAGCTTGCCACGGGGGGAGAAGACGATGAGGGCGATTTCGGCGTCGCAAAGGATGGAGAGTTCCTTAGCCTTCTTCAAAAGACCAGCTCTTCTCTTAGAGAAGGTAACTTGTCTACTTATGTTATTCTCTATTCTCTTCAGCTCCACTTTTCCTCTTCCCATTTTACCCTTTTTCTCTCTAAAGTTTTGAGTGAAAATGAAGAAGAACTAATTAACAATGGAGGAAGGAAAGAAGGAAGGTATTTTTGAGATAGAAATAATGCAGAAAAATGAAGGTGGTTGTTTTATATTATCTCTGCCCTTTTCTTTTTTTTTTTTTTTTTTTTTTTTATGTTGTTTGGGTGGGTAAAGAAACTAAATAATGTTGTTGGTCACCTTTGGATTTGTGTATTTATGGAAATCTATATGGAAATTTGAGTCTATGTATTATTGTTATAACCTTTGGATTTGCTCTTTAACCAGATGTTGTACACACATGGTTATGCTAAGTATTTTGTATCAAGTACACACAAACATTAAAATAAGAAAGTTACTACGAACTAACAAGCCAGTATTTTGTATATGCCGAGTACTTAATTACGTTGTACATACGTTTAACTTTAATAATCTGAATATTATGACTTTTATATATATCTTTCGATACAAGGAGTAGTAGAATTGGAATTGATCATTATTAGCCACGTATTCTACAAGTTAAAGAGCTTGTAATTAGTCAAGAGCTTACTTTTATTAAACTACGTAATTAAGTAGAAACCAAGTCTACTTACAATGTCCAAACTCACACGCAGTGGTAACAACTTTAGTTTTGAAAAGGTAATTGGGTTTATAATACCAATTTGTTTCATTTCAATTCACATTGCTTTTTGCTGATATTACAAAAACTAGGTATGTTGGTTAGCTATTGGATATATAATCACAAAGCTTATTTAATAAGCAAGCATAATGGACTCTTGTCTGCCTAAAAAAAGTATTAACTTAAAGTATATCATCTTAAATTCAATTGTGTTAAACATGTTGATGTTTATCTCAATCTCATTAATTTCTCATGATAAACTTACCCCCTTTTTTTTCACCTTTTATTATTATTTTGATGGGATAAGTGGTTAATATATTTTTACTTTGTAGTCTTCATCACTTTCATTATTAGGAATTTAGGATTTTCTGCCATTGTCACTTTCCTATAAAGTCATGCTATGTAACAAACCCTATGAAGAAAAAGAAACTCCTAATAACTTCAATCATGACATACTTCCAAATTCACTAATTTTTGTGCATCTTTTTTCTTACCATTGATATTTTTTGCAATCATCCACCCAAATCACGGTTATTTAAATTAGTGTTTGATCAAAGAATGGGAGTCATTGATCGAAATTAGAGTGAGGACATTTGTAATGATATATCCAATCGCAAAAATTAATTATATACTTCGTAACTTTTATTTTTGTTACATTATAATTCTCTTCGTCTTTTAATTAAATTGTCCGATAGTAGAGATCAAGGATTATGGCTAATTGATTATTTTACACTTTGAAATACAAATTAATTAAAAAAATATAAAAAATTAATACTGATCGGAGTAGCTATTTACCCAAAATTAATCTATTTAAAAGAAAATAGTTATTCCAAATTAAAGTACGTAAAATCGTGGATTTATTATATGCTCTTGCTATAATTGTACTGTGATCAACTGATCATGGATGAACATTGATCAATTGAACAAGAACATAGTGGCATATATATATATATATATATATATATATATATATATATATATATATATATATATATATATATATATATATATATATATATATATGATATATTCATCTACTACCATTAGAGGGATGTCTAAAAATAAAAGTCCTTAACCAAAAATGAGAATTATGATTCAAATTTATTTGGTGGTTTTTTTTGTCTATCACGTGGTCCTCTTACTTGATAATAACAGACCATCATTACAATGAGATTCGCATGATTGAATTATGATAAATAACTATTGAAAGTTTGAAACTGATCTGATTTTCTTTAAATAATTTGGCATTCGTATTACTATTATCTAATGTGACAGGGCCAACAAATTAGCACAAGATGTCTAATATATATCTTTATGTATCAACCAGTCACATACATTTTTCCACAAACCATAACAAGTACATACTGTACGTAATTATCTACAAGTATTATCTAAGCATGTCTTTACTCGTTTAATTGACATACAAAAATCGTAAGTACTCCATAAAAAAATAAAATGTTGTTTGATTGAAAAAAACATAGATACACCTACCTAGGGGATGAAACCTAGGGATAATTCTCGTGATCAATCTTAAATCCACCAATTTGTGACCATTTCAACTCTACCATCATATATATCCTAGAATAATCTCAAAAATCTAGAATTTAATTTGCATAGAGGATACGTGCCCCATTTGAATTGAACGTAATTGAGGTTTATGTTTGATCGAGCAAGTATCTTTTTCTTAAAGCTAGACTGTAAAATTTAAAAACTTCACCATTTGTCACGTGGCTATAACAGCCAGCTAGTGATGAGACATAATCCACGTTCATGCATGTATGATTGGTTATATATCAATTCATACGCGTTATAACAACATAAAAATGGGCATTTACTTATTGTTTAGCCTCCTAAATTATCAACCTTCATAGTACCATTTACAGTTGACAATAAGGGAGCAAATCTTAGAACACCTACAGTACATTTTATGATCAATATAACCAAATTTTAGCACCAAAATAGTTTTGGATGTACTACATACTTGTATATTCTTTGATTTCTTCTTATTAATCTTATCGCTTTATGAGGATGTGTTTACAAAACTTCATAAACCTGACTTTACTAATTAACCTCAAGGTCTATAAATTCTAAGTTAATTAGTGTGTTGATTATTACTTAATGAAAAGTTTATTAAATGTAATTATGTGTGTACACTCGAACATATAATAAACACTGTATGTCCACTCATATAATGGTTGCTAGTAAAATTACCCGTATATGCTACTCGTAGGTAGTTTACGGATGTTATAGCGAAAATTCTGGTCACATGCATGCATATTGATAACATTAACTCCGTATGACTTGCAGGAGGAAACTATAGGTTGCAGTGCCAAAGCCATAAATAGAAACAACAGTAAATGAAGTTAAATCAAAGGAAAATTAAAGGAACTTTGCTTTTACTAAGATAGTAGAATGATTTTATTTTCTTGACATGAAATGATGACTAAACACTACTATCTGTTGTACTGCTACTAGTGGTACATATGACAATCGAACAAACTTCATCAATCATCGTTAGCTACATAAAAATATAAAATGCTCTAGCTAGGTATAGTATATAGTGGTATGAATGTATGATGTACCTTAATAACTTAATTGTGCCTGTCATGTGCCATCTAGCTAGCTAGCCTTATCTAGCCAATTATATGAATTTGGTAAACCACATAAATTGTTACTTAGTATATATAAGTTGGCCGAATATGGTAAATTCGTCGATTGAGAAAATCATAACATTAGCAACACTAGTATACGTTTAATTTTAAAAAAAAATCTCATATGAGAGAATGAAAACATATCTTTAGAAGTAGTAAAAGACCTTATTTAGATTGTAAAAACACAATCTCAACAACAATCGCGTTTCGTATCAACACAAAAATGCAATTTCCACAAATTATTTTATGTTTTGTTCACAACAATCTATTTATACGGGTAGAATTATATATAATTAATAACATGTGAACAATTCACCAATTGTATAAATTATAGGAGTACTTATTTATTTTACTAAAATGTCTGAATAAATAATTATGGTAAATTTTAACTTCTCTATTAAACCCTACAATAAACTTCATCCACTTTGTCTAGAAAAAATAGGGAAAGCAAAAGTTACTTTAAACAGTGAATAAATTGTATGATTTTTGCATATGAATCTCTGATTAAAAAAATTCAGAGCACATAATTTGATGAAATGATTCCATGGATGGACCCCACTTAAAAAAGGAAAATGACAAGCCATCTAATACAATTAAACAGTGGTGGTGATGGTTATCACTTACCCAAAATAGAAAGTCTTTATGACCTAATGGACCACTTTAATAAGTAGCCTTTACTATATTTAGAAATTCAATACTAGACCTCCTTTTTCTTTTTTCTTTTTTTTTTAATTTATTTTTTTTCCCCACCTTTTCAGAGTTTGATTCTTCACTGCCCTATTATGAACCAAGTAATTCCATTCTTCTACGGAGGCTTCTTGTATGTTTCCCTTCTTTTCTACAAGGATTTCTTGGAATTTTCCTCTCTTCATGAGATTGTTTTTGAAGTGAAAATAAACATAGTACATACATATATTGGGTGTTGTTCAATTATTATCATGTGAATTAATTAAATAAAGGCCAAATTAGAAAATAACACTATTAAAACCCCCGATTTTGATAATAACACATATTAAAACAAAAGTTTTATTATAACACCATCAAAAATCCCAAAATTTTGGTTTTAAATTAAAATAACCCCTAACCCAGCCAGCCCCTCCACCGGCACCACCTGCCCCAGCCGCCGCTGCCGCCGGCATCCCCTGCCCTCACATAATCCGGCGAAACCAGCCCAGCCGCCTCTTCCCTTCTCCTTCCTAGCCCTGCCCCTACTGGAAAATGCCTCCTTCCCAACCCACAACCACATCCACATGTCCTCTACAACCCCGACCCCGACCCCCTCCCCTTCCCCTTCCCCCCATGAACCAAACCACCCAAAAACCACTTCACAACCCCGAGTCCCCTTCTCAGTTTTTTTTTTTTTTTTTTTTATCTTATTTTTTTTAATTTTTTTTTAATAATAGGCTATAGGGTTTTCAATCAATTTGGGGATTTGAATATGGCGAAATTACTTGGGCAATTGATTCATGGTGACTTTAAGAGGGGAAAGGGAAGAAGAAGAAGAAAGAGGAAGGGGGGTTTTCGGGGTCACTGGTTTCAGGGGTCGGGGTTTGGGGTTGCCGTTTTCTAGGTTGGGGGTTTCATGGGGAGGGGGTGGTCGAAGAGGGAAGGACTATAGGGATGGTTGGTCGGGAAATGGAGTGGGAAGGGAAGGGAAGGGGGAAGTTGGCCGGATTCAATGGAGGATAGTCGGAAAATGGAGTGGAAAGGGAGGGGAAGGGGAGAGTGGCCGAATTTAATAGAGGAGAGGGGGTTACGATGGTCGGATTTCGGAGGGGTCAAGTTTGGAGGTGGTCGGCGATGGAGGTGGTCAGATTTTGGAGGTTACGGTGGTCGGTGATGGAGCTGCATAATCATGGAGGTGGAGGGGAGAAAGAAGAAAGGAATTTTTTTTTTTTAACCCAATAAACATCTGACACGTGTACATGGCGGGCCCCACTAACGGTTTCCATCTAAAAATCCGTTAGTGGGTGGTGGAGCCAAAATTTTGGGATTTTTGGTGGTGTTATAATAAAACTTTTTTTTTTATAGGTGTTATTATCAAAATCAGGGGTTTTAATGGGTGTTATTTTCTAATTTGACCTTAAATAAATAGATTAACCACCTTTAGGTTTATAGTGATTGATCGCTTAGGTATGATTTTACATTTGTAGGGATCTGGTGCATGCATTGATTTGAATTAAAAGTAGAAAATTATAGTTTGAGAGGTTGATGCATATGAGTAGTTTTTAACAAGCATCATATTCTAAGCGATCATCAAGAATAAGACTTCAATTCGTAACAAATATAACATAAATTTAAGTAGAAGGAAGAAGCTACTTCATGTTATTATAGTATTTATACAGAGACCATATATGTGAGATAAAGTTTAAATTTAAGAGAAGACAACAATAATCGCATTAGGAATTCCCCTCGTGGGGAGGGTTTCCTAATGTTTTATTTTTCTTACCATTAAAAAAATAAAAATAAAAATAAAAAAAATGATACGAGTGTAACGGAATGAAATGTTCATATTTTGTATTACATATAATTGCCTAAGGTGACTTATTAATTGAGGGCTCCTCATAAAGAAAAAGGGAAAAAAAATTCAGGTAGATTATTAGTTGACTCATTGTCCCTAATAATCGCATTGTTTACGCATTTGAAGGCCGACAACTTCATTGTTCTAGTACCTCATGACATGCAAATGCTAATTATTGGCTAATTACATGTGTGACAAGGGATATAAAAGTAACAAAATTTCAAATATTTGCTGATTAATTTGTTGCCTGCCTATGATGGACGTTGACAGATTTTTTAATTTCAATGAACCTGTGACAGTAGAGTTCACATAGCTGATACTCATTTGTTCATTGTTTTTATATTTAACCTCAATTTAAATACAAGTAGTTTATCAAAGAATAAAGCCTCGTTTTGTTTGATGTATCTTATTTTGCTAAAAACATATCTTATTTTAGAGATACTTTGATTTTATAGTATCTAACTAGTGGATATGAAATAGGGAGTAATACTGGTAGTATAGTACGTACTCCATCCACTTCAACCTCGATGGAATTGATGATGGTTATATGTCATAGCCTCATCGGGGGTATACCATTCTGTACCCATATTGGCTATATACCATTAAGGCATTAACACACTTTCTCTGCTTTTTTAAAATTACAATAGTTGGACTTTTATACTATTGACTCATTTTTATTTGGCCATCTATTGTAAAATCTTATTAGATTCATTTCAATATACTTTCAATATATCAAATTTTTATTTAGCCGAAAATTAAAGAATATTACAGAATAATAACTTAAGTCATACAGTATGTTGGAAAGTGTAGAACTCAACATGTTAATCTCTACCTTTTAAAAAGTAAGAGTAAACTCTTATGAATAGTGTTGAGACGATTATGTCCTTAAAAATGTTTATTTACGTATTTACATCTTTTAAAAGTATGACCACACTTATATAAATAGTATTGAGATGATTATGCCCCTAAAATGTTTATTTACATATTTTCCTTCATTAATGTTAGTTATTTTTATAAACTCTTGAAAAGTGTGTGGACATTTATAACCCTTAAAAATATTTGTTTAACACTACTAACAACTAAAGTTATAGCATAATGCCAAACAGAAAGAACTTCCCGGTCATGGCTAACTATGATACACTAGTATGTTAAATAAACAAAGGAAATTGGGCCACTGTAAAATCAAAACGCTTTTCCTATTGGGCCAAGCCCAAACTCAAACACAACACTCCCAAAAAAAAAAGGACAGCAATAAGAGAAGACAGAGAAGCAAGAAAATGGCGGGAGCAGCAGGAATTCGCCGGAAAATGCCGCAACGTCCACCTCCACCGCCATCTGTACTTCCTCCTCGGCCGTCTAACACGCTTCCTCGCCGCCCATTCTACGTCGATCGGGAAAAGGTTCCAATTTTTTCCCCTTTTTTTTTTTGGTTAATTTAGGGTTCGTAAAATTTTAGGGTTCCTCTATGTTTGATTCAATGTGAAATTGAGGTTGATTAATAGTTAGTTATAACTCTTTCACTTTTTTTAAGAGTGTTTTTCCTTTAATTAGTACAGAGTATATTTTTTCGGTTGATTTGTTTACCGGAATGATGCTGGATTTTTTTGGGCATATTTGACATTACATTTCACGATTTTCAAAATAGTTGTTGATTGGGGTGGGATGATATTGATTTAAAGAGTGCATTTCCAAAACTGTTTACTTTACTGTGTTAATGGTATGCCCAATTGTTACTTATCATTGACAGGATTTTTGTTCTGTATATGAATATTCATGTTAGTAATTCATTTCTCGTCGTGGTTGCAGACTTGCCCTTTGCTGCTTCGGGTTTTCACTAAGGTACTTTGCCTATTTCCCACTCTTCTCTTTGTTGCTGCTCTATATTTCCAGGAAATTCCCTTTTTAGTGTTGTGTTTCGTGGATGTTCTTTTGTAGAAAGCGCGAGTTGGTGCCATTTGATCGTTATTTCTGCAACTTAGTGAAAGTTACCAGACTCTTGTTTTGAATTTTGTGGTTAGTGTGATTCCGTCTGCTGTTGTTGACATTATGTTGCTTGGTGTTTTTATGATATGTAAGTTTGTGGGGTTTAACTGTTGATGTCCTGAATTTTTATTTTTATTGGCCCGGAGTATCCATAATCCACCCATGTGGATCAATGAACACTATTTGTACAAGTACACAAAAACCCCATCCCTGTGGCTTGGAATTGAGATTATGGCCTGCCCCAGGGAGAACACCCTCCTATAAACTCTATCCTTGATGTTAGACTCAATGAGAATAAAGCTCTCAAACTCAGATAGAAGGCGGGATTGGGAGCAATACTAATGAGTTCTAACCTTATTTTTTAGCATAATATAGTGGTTTTAATATTTGCAGGTTGGGAGTCATCATAGCAGGGAAGATTTTGCAGTCAGAGGACAGGAGCCAAAAAATGAATTTCAAATTTATACTTGGAAGGATGCTACTCTACGGGAGTTAACTGATCTGGTTAGCTTAAGACTTTCTATTCTTACCTGTGTGTATGACACCATAACCCCCTCCTTTGGATTTATCTATTTCTGTGAATGATTGTGATGTTAGGTTGTGGCTTCATCTTCTTGTCCCAATACCAGTGATACTGAGAATATTGGGGCTATCTGCTTCACTAAACTTTTGACCTCATACTTCGTGGAGGTCTTGTTGGGAAAGTGACACAGAGAGGGTTGGGGGGGGGGGCATTGAGTTCTGTGTGGCTTTAACTTCTCAATGGTTGGTTGATTGGTTGATTGGTTGATCTATGTGACTTGTGTTTAAGTGAAAGTATAATCTCATGTTTCACAAATCTGGTATAATTGAAATTGGGAGAACGGAACATCATATTTTCTAGGTCTCTAGCTATGTTTAACTGTTTAAGAACCATTGATTTGGAAATTTTACCAGATTTCTTGGGTAGGAGAATATATGTTTCATTACTCAATTGGGTTTATGCATCACTTTCTTAGGCCGTGGGTGCAGTGGTTCTTTCTTGTTGTATCAAGCACAAAAAACATGTTTGTCTGAAGGCTATGAGGTGAATTCTGTTTATGCAATGCATGCCACTGACTTCTTGGGAGGATTTCTTGAACTTTCTGTAAGGAGTTGTTCTTGTTCTGAATGCTATATAGCTGTTTGTGCTTTGGGGCTGATAGATGGATCTAGAGGGATTGGCTAAATTCTGCTGATTCTAACCTTTACAAGCCCCTATAGTGCCACTTATAATGTGGGTTTGAACTATTTTGATGATCCTTGAGATCAATTAGGATCTTGTTGGTGCAAACTTTGTGGGTCATTAATCACTTATTTATCTATTGTCTGTATTCTTTTGGAAGGATCTAAGATTACAAACAAGACAAATCGTGCTTGTTTTCCTCCTCTAGAGTGCCTTATTTCAAAATCAAGTGAATTTTCGTGATTAAAATTAAAACAAGTTACACTTGCTGAGATTTTGTTCTAAGAATAATTTAATGAAACAAATCCACAGAGCCTTTTTTTTTTTTTTTTTTTTTTTTTTTTTTTTTTTTTTTTTTTTTTTTTTTTTGTAGCCGTTGTTTTAGCTGGTTTCTCCATTCTTCTGAGCTATCTAAAACTACACTGTATTGGCAATTATGATGTAACTCCAATGTTGCTTGAATGCATGACTCCTATATGTGGTTCCAAGCTCGATGGACATACTTGTTCTTTAGAAATAATTTCATTCTTAGTTCCTCACATTGTATGGAATCATCTTTGTCTCCAACCAGCGTTATATTTTGGTCTTCCTATGCAAGCTGTTTTAGCCTTTACCTATTATGTAGGAATTTTTTTTTGTATGGACTTTCAAACATTTTTCTTGCATAGTGTTTCTAATAAGGTAGGAGAAGAGACCCCTTTGAGTGTTAGTTCTTACTTCATGAAGATAAGTAATAAGAAGAAACTTCACATTTGCTTATTTTATGTAGCTTCAAATGGAATGAGCAGATCTCCTTTATCATAAATCTAGCTTTCTGTGAGCATTTGTTCTTGCATATGTAGCTGAGTTTTCAAGTTTTGCTTCTGCTGTGATCTAGTGATGCCGATACTACCTACTAGAGTGGTTTATGGATCTTTGTAGATGTATGTAAATTTTAAATCTCTATAGTGATGACAGGGATTAACAACATCAAGGAATTCTTGTTGCCTTTCTAACCACATTGATTTTATTTATTCCTGTAGACCTGTAGTTAAATCTTTATGATGCATTTGTTGCTTCTTTCTGTCTCAGTTTGATGGTAGAATTTGGACACCGGAATTCCTTTTCTTATTTCCTATAGGTAAAGGAGGTTACCCCAGCAGCTAGGAGGAGAGATGCAAGGTTGTCTTTTGCTTTTGTGTTCCCGGAGAAACAAGGTCATTTAGTGGTTAGGCTGGTAAGTTCCTCAACCAGCTTGCCACTACACTGCTTGACTTTGACATACTTCTCTGTTAAGCCCAGTATTGTATTTAGCTTTGTATCTAGCTAATGGGCCAATGTATGATGCCTATTCTCTTCTCTTAGGTTGTATAAATACCTTGTGCATACTCTAATACAAAATACAGAAAATCATTCTCTCTAATTTGACATGGTATAAGAGCCACTAACCTACCTTTCTACACAAAGGACTTTGACATTTCAGCTAGCATACTAAGAAACTTAGGACAGATTACTTTCATTCTGGTCATTTATTAATTACTGTTATGTTCTAGCATCAGACCATTATTTTTTCTTATGCTGCATGGTGTCTTCCTTTGGAGTACTTTTAATGTTAAAGTCGCCTTTTGTGTCCTGATTCATGAAGGTGGGGAAAACATTTTCATATGGTAGCGGGGAGATGGATGATGGAAAAGCATTGGCTCAACTTGGTTTTCAGGTATTCTAGAACTTAAATCCATCTGTAAATTACCTAAAGAATTTCAAAAGATGCTCTACTTCATTAGATATTTTAGTTAGCACTCAGTGTTCCCTAATCTTCATGGTTGCAGATTGGAGACTACTTGGATGTGGCAATTTTCTAGACTGATCTCCTACAGCATTATTAAATTCGCTAACCTAACTAATTTGTCAGGACCATGATTATCCGTCGTTATTCTACTGATAGATTTGGGGTGCTTAAATTCGGTCTTTTGGAAGCTTTACAGCTCCTGTGGTGATTAACTGTCCTGTTGGAAGAATATGTAGAGCACATTATCTAGCACATAATCTCCAAAGATACTTGTTTTGCCCCTGTGCATATATTAAGTGAAATGGGTAAATACTCGTTCCAGCTATGCTTAGGTTTATGAGGATGGTAACAGTGTTTAAACCTGTACTGTACATTGTGGCTCGTGTGATTTAGCATCAATTTGAGTTATGGTGCTCATTGAGTCGCAAGTTCACAACCTTATACTGGCCACTGATACTTGGCTTCTTACCGAATGGAACTTGATAACTAGATATCTATTCTATGGTCTGTATGGGACATGCAGCACTTAATGCTGTTTATTAGATTATTTGACAGGTCAGAGCAAGCTCATAAAATTAACAGGTCAGGACTTGGGTATTTGACGTTCTTATTGGTTTGAAATTTGAAGAGCAAAGATCCATCTCATTTGAAGCATCAACTTAAGTAAGCAACTCTACTTCGCTAATCAATATTCTACTATATTGTTATTTTAACGGGAAAATGATAAATAACTCGGCTTGAATAATTCTATGAAATTGTTTTTTTTTTAATAAGTAATTAAGTCTATCCACGCGACACTGTCCTCCTGAGAATGCAGCAGCATGAAAGTTCAATGCATAGTGAGGAACTGAGGATTGAATTAGCATCACTTATTACATATTTGTTGCTTCAAACACAAGATTTTTTTTTGTTCAGATTTTTCTAGCATTTTAGTGGAAGCAAGCATATTTACTTTTCTTTCAAAGGAAGGTGAAGTACAGGGGAATCAGAATTGGATATCAACTTTTTGAGTGTTGCCCCCTCCCCCCCTAAAAAAATACCAATTCTGGGTAGGAAAACAATAATCGTTGTGTGGTATCTTTATGTAGTATTAACATGTTGGTACATGTTTGTGGTAGTGTCTTTTGGTCATACGACCACTTCTTAAATATTAGATGGTTATGGTGGTCGGATTAAGATTCACATATCCAGGGATTCCTCTCTTGATCCTTGCTTTATCACATCAATATCTATGATATCTTATCTGGAGAGGATAATTGACAAGAAGGAAAAACAATAGCTAAGTTTATTCCCAAATTTGTTTATTCGCGATCTAGTATAATCTCTAAGTGTGTAGGATATATACTAATCTCATTGCATAATATGATACGAATTCAATAATAGTAAAGAATCCGATGCAAAGAAGTCATAAACTAGAAGGGATGCCACTATAAATACCATGTAGAGCTCAGCCTATTTCTTTGCACAATTCAATTGATCATTCATTCACAGAAATATTGCAAGTATGAATGGTTGGGGTGGTCATAACTATGCCCATGAATCGAGAGATCCTAAGTGGCAGCCGTATGATATACAAGAAGCACTCGAATCAAAGCTTTCCTAAACATGGTGACGATGGTGGTGGTCATGGATCAGGGAACCCTTATCATGGTCATCATACTATGTATGGTGATGACGGCGCTTATGGTTATGGCCATCATGATCACCATGCTATGTATGGTGGTTACGGTGGTGGTTATGGTTATTACGACCAAGGATACTACCATTAAAGGGCATGCTCTTAAAGCTTAAACTATCTGTCTATATATAGTGGTTGTAGACTTGTAGTATAAGGTATAACTAATTAACTTGTAATAGTATTAGTATTATTGCTATGAAATAAAGGGATGAGTACTTCGTATATGATTATGTATGTGCATTTTCAAGTACCAATTAAATGATATGCTAGCGATTTGTGGACTTGTGGGGTGTAACCGTGTATGAATTGCTGTTGTTTTTTTTTTTTCTTCGGAAGAAATAAAGTTTAGGATTTAATAATGAAATACAATTTAATGTCGTTTTCAAAAATTGCTAATATTAATGCCATAATCAATCAAATCCCTGTTTATTAGCCCTGATTTATGGTGTAACACGTGTCTATGAGTAAACACTGCCGACATAGGCTGATGTTGCTGATGTCGGATTGAATACGACGTCGCTCGATGGTCCCCCTCCCCTCTTCAACTTATCTACCCGTTTAGAAAGTAATCAAATCATATACGAGTAGTTAACTTAAAATTACTACTCGTATTAACTACAGAGTATTTAGATTAAGGTGTTGTTTGGCTGTCCAAAAAAAAAATGGAGGGATTACAAATTTATGTGACTTGGGAAATAAGGAGTTTATTAGGTTGACTATAAAAAGTGAAAATGTGAGAAGTGCATATTTATGAAAATTTTCAATTCTTACAAAACATAGGAATTAAATTTGTAAATGTCTTCGTAACAACTAAATGATTTTAGCCATTTCCTAGAAAATTTATGATGTGAGAATTTAATTTTAATGAAATATAAATGCTTATGGGAATTTAATTCCCATGTCAACCAAATGACAACTAATTTATGTCGCTTGATGGGTTTTATTAGTGATGTGCTCCGTATCAAACAAGTTTATACTGTATATGCCAATTAAGCTTTGTACTCTATAGTTATTAGAAAGATTATAGTGCAATGACCAATAAACAATAGCAAAGGTAAACATATTTTATATTTATGTAATTTTTATAAAAAATAAAAAAAATGTAATGCTTACATCTATGATGATTCAATGATGCAACAACCACCTTAAATATATGCTTACATGTTTAATCATGCAAGGTTTGGTAGTGAAAATGTAGAGTACTACTCATAAGAATAATTAAATAAAAGAGAACCAAATTTGAAACAATCGAGAACTTTCAAGTCAGCTAGCGGACGTTTTCCCAAAGTAAGCTTAAGTAGCAAAATATATACGTAAATGGTTGCGTGGCAAAAGTATTTACCAAACTAAGCTTTCAGGGTAAAACGCTGTCTCGAACAGCGTTTTATGCCCTAGTTTTTTTTTATAAAAAATTCAACTTAAAAACGCTGTCTCAGACAACGTTTTACATGTTGACTTTTGTTTTTTAAATTTCGTAATTTTTGATATTAAAAAAAATATATATATATATATTACACTAAAACGCTGCCTGAGGCAGCGGTTTTAGTGTATAATTTTTTTTTAATTTCTAGTTTAAAAAAAAAAAAGAAAAAAAAATATTAAAGCTGTTGTGTTCTTGAGCTACCCCATTTTCCTAGCTTAATTAACCTTTTTTCTTCTTTGTTCTACACGTAATGTTCATGCATTATAGATTAGTGTCTCCTTCTAGGATTTTTTATATTTGGTTTTTACCAATTATTTGACCCTCTTCCTATTTTCACTCCTTTAATCAAAGTTTCTACTGTTCTTTTCTCCTTCACTTTCACTATACTCCTACCTTTAACCTTTTTTGTCCTCTGTTGTGGCTTTACTTGAGCAACACACCTTCGTTTTGGATGGTATGTAGAATTTGCTCATGAATTGATTTTGTTAAACACAAAACAATGACAGCAATCAAAGCATATGTATTTTCAGTATATTGCAATCATGTGAATATGGACTTAAATACAAAGAGGAGAAGAAGATAGGAAGCAACAATCATATCCCAACCCCAACCGCAATACTCGAATACGATATGATAATTATCACATATTGATAATTATCCACCCAAATAATACAATCATTATCACATATTGATAATTATCCACCCCAAAGAATACAATCATTATCATAATAACGCAATGGTGTATAATATTTTTTTCTTTTTTTGTTTTTAAACTAGAAATTAAAAAAAAAAAAAAAATTATACACTAAAACCGCTGCCTCAGGCAGCGTTTTAGTGTAATTTTTTTTTTTTTTAATATCAAAAATTACGAAATTTAAAAAACAAAAGTCAACATGTAAAACGCTGTCTGAGACAGCGTTTTTAAGTTGAATTTTTTATAAAAAAAAATCAGGGCATAAAACGCTGTACGAGACAGCGTTTTACCCTGGAAGCTTAGTTTGGTAAATACTTTTGCTACGCAACCATTTACGTATATATTTTGCTACTTAAGCTTACTTTGGGAAAACGTCCTCAGCTAGCTCCAATTGTGCATCGTCTTTCAAACACACTCAACATCGATAAAAGAAAGAATAACTATAAATCTATGATTTATTTAAGAAAAGCAAAACTTGTAAAACAATTTTACCAATTAATGGTGTGCATGCATTACTTCATTTATTATTAATGCTTTTTTATTCCTTAGCTTGTAACAAAACCCTAATCAAAATGTTTTTTCTAATTATCATCAACAGAAAAGAAATCTTTAACTATTTCGTTTTTCATATTTAATCAACCAAACACAAAAAAAACTTTCTCTAATACAATACAATAGTCTAGCGGAGTACTCTTACTGTGTAGCCCATTACACATCCAACTAATTATACAATTGCCGATAATTTCCTTCCCCTTTCCCTTTCTAAAATACTCATATTACGTGATTTAAAAAAAAAATACTCATATTACGTAGCTCATTTCACATCCTACCGATTGTATAATAGAAATTACCAATAACCCCTACCGGCCATTCCCTTACCCTTTCCCTCTCCTTTTCCAAATATTCACCCTCATTAGTTGATTGACGCTTTAATTAAAATTTTAACACTTTCTCTTTCTCACTCCTTTCTCATAAGCCGCTTCATCTTCCACCCCTCTCTCTCTGCAAATTTAGCTTGTAAATACACTCAATTAATTTCCAATTACAATTCCCGATTTCATAGAAATCTGGGTGATTTCTCCTTCCTTTTCTCTCTCTCTCCAATCTCTAGATTGCTGAGAGGTCGAGATTTTAATGGCGACGAAAAGGGGATTATTGAGTACCAACACCCCCAGAAGTAGAACCAATGCATCATCATCATCATCATCATCATCATGCTTTTCTACTTCCTCCATTGTTCCTTTCTTCCTTCTTCTCCTTATTTTCCCTCTCTTTTTCTTTGTCGGTCGCGGCCTCCATTTTTCCCCTGGTTAGTTTCACTCCTTTTTCTGGGTTAGATCTGTTTCTTAATTCGACCATGAATCAGATACTTTGGTTGATTAGGATTTTTATTTGATTGCTAATATTGCGTGATTTAGCAGTACTGCATTCCCTGATTTTTTTGATTGAAATTACTTAAGTTTGGAGGATTTTTAACCCTAGATTGTGAATTTGTTTTGTATAATGTGTTAATTTTTAGATTATTTGAATGTTTATGGAATTTCGTGCACGTATTGTAGTTTCTTGGCGATTTGGAATTGAATGATTACTGACTGATGCAGCCATTAAATTTATCGAACTGCGCTAAAGTTTAGGTGTTCTTGTCGAGTTGGGAGTTTTGTTAGGATTGAGGAACTTATTAGACTTTGAAATTGCTGAATTTAATTTGTTAAGGTCCCGTGCAATTGTTAATTATTTGTCATTGTAAGGTTTAGGAAGAAAATTCAGCTTTGCTTTGATGGGTGACAAGATCATGCTTCAACTATTGCTGAAATTAAGGATTAAGGTTGTAGGTGTTTCATTCTGTTACCATGTTGTCGTTTTTGTGAGTCTGCATTATGTTGTTTTGATTAATGTGACCTTGGACCTTAGTTGTATCCTAGGTAGCTTAGGAGCATAATCAGTGTAAGAGTAATTATGCATGTAGACTTTCATGGGGAAGTGGGTCTGTGGGTGGGTTGAGCATTGTTAGACTTATTGTTGTTGGTGAAGTGTTCGCTTGAATTTCTTGCCTCTTGGAGCTCTTGTTTATGTTGGTTGAATTGAGACTTGAGAGTAGCATTTGGTTTTTGAAAGATTTCTGTTATGTGAGAATGTGAGATGATCACCTACTTTACCCATCTTTCCTGTAATCCACGAATTGGGACATGCAAATTGGTACATGGAGCATAGTAAATTGGCAAAATTGTTTATTAGTTTGATGGAATTGCCCAGCAGACGCGTTCCCATACCCGTGCCATTTACCAAAACTCACCACATTTCCATGTAGCACTCATATGAAACTTCATGAATTGTGGTGTTAATTTGATTTTGTGACGTATTCTTCTCGGCATCATGTCATTGGAGCTACAATATTTGATTAATCATGTGGGGGGTGAAAAATGTTCTTAGATGTTAATGGTGATGGACTCATTCATGTTAGTCATGTGGGCTCTCTAGAGTTTAGTTTGCCAGCTCCCTTTTTTTCGATGGTGAACCAGAAGATTGGTGATGACTGGGGTGAAATTTATAGTTTTAGAGGTTTCATCATTTAGTAAACAAGATATGCCTGTTTTAGCCTGCTATGCTTACGCCTTTAGTCATGATTGGTCAACAGTTGTTCGTTGGTTGGATTTTTGGAGCTAAATACTTCTGTATTTTCTGGGTTTTGGTTGGAAATTAAAATATATACAAACTGTAAGGGCTGTTTAATGATGGATCAATATGAGATCTGTTCTTGTCTTCTTGGATGAGGAGTTGCACTAGATAAATTGATTCTTTGAGTACCTAAATGTACTTGATAGGGATGCGATCGTAATACAACTAAGAGGAGACAGGTTTTTGTGCATTTTTGTTTGATAATGTTTGTAGATTATAGATAGGAAGGTTCATCTTGAGTTGCTTTTTAGGCTCAAATCTTTATGTACACGGCTTTTGGAAGCTGTATAAACCAAGCAGTACAAAGTAAACATGTGAAAGTTAAATACTTATTTTCTTGTATGCCTTTGTCTGTTTTTAAGGAATGCTAGGACTTTTTGCTGTGTTATATGGATTTTTTGTTTAAATTCGTATTAATGTTTGTTCCTTTGGCTTATTTTCCACGGTGCTTCGTCCTGTCTATGACAATTATTTTTTATTTAATCTATGTTCTTTTCAGCAAATGTGCGCTCTGTAGTTCTTTAACGTTTGATTATCGGGTATTGATTTCATTTGAAAGTATTGGGATTATGTAGTATTGTTGGTCAAAACTAAATTACAATGCCGATGGTGAAAGAGGTTGGACTGTTCACTGAATGGACATATTGATATAGAGGATTGTTTTAATATAGAATGTATGTATATGTATTAAAGTAGGAAATTTATGGACAAAGGAGATAATTTACGAATTGTTGACACTTTATTTTATTTATTTTTTATTTTTTATCATCATCTGGCTGGCATGTACTTCCGTTTTTTTAGCTGACATATTTTGACTTTTGACACTATTCATACAATCCACTTTCGATTTTTTTTTGACTTGTGCTTTGGAAGAATTTAGTCCTATAGGATCTTGTTAGATTCTTTTCAATGTATATATTGTAAAATTTTCATCCTTCAAATGGTTGAAGTTATGCATTGACAAGTGTAAAAAAAAAAGAAACTAGTGAACAAAAAAATTGGAGGAAGTAGATCATTTACTTATTTTTTTTTTTATTGTTGTATGACCTTCGGTTCATGCTTTACATTCACTTGTTTTTTATTTTTTTATTTACTGTTTCTCTCTTTTCTACAGGGTCCAGAAATTCATTAGATGCTGTTAAACAGGTTGCTCATAATTCTGTTTCTTCATCCACTCTTCTATATGTTGAGTTTTGTACTCCTTTTGATTGCCAACGATTAATTTGTTAGATTAATTTACACAGGATGCAGATTGGAGAGAAAGGCTCATATTGCAACATTTGAAGCCATTCTTCTCAAAAGAGGTAAGACAATCTTGGTATTTCCTCTTATTTTTGGGGTTGCTAACTTTTGCCTGATTTGTTTATCATTTCGTATTGGTTATTTTATGTATGTTGCAGGACATCGATGTCATCTCCGCAAATGTGAAGGATTTGGGGCCACTGAGTCTTGATTTTTTTAAAAGAAACGGTTCTGCATCATGGAAGGTTGTTGGCCAGGAGAATTCTGGTGATACTTCTTTAGAGGTTGGTATATTAGTTCTTTAAACAATTCTTATTGTTGCTGCTGTTTCAGCAACTGTAAACTATCCTTTGATGGCTTCCATTACCTGATCTTTCATATGTTACATGTTTTAATCATTTGGTAATTATTTGAAGGCAAAGCGCATAGGGACACATACGAAACAAGATAAATTGAAGGGCAAACCAGATTCTTCATCAGGTACTTTCCACGTCTGTTTTGTCCTGTATTACATCATTAGTTTGTTATTGGCTTAGGGTTTTTGATACCATAAAGTTAGCATGTACATGATGACTTGCTCTTTTACGTTAATCAGATAATCACCCTGATGTAGTGGACTCACCAGCTGTACTGATGCGAAGGGTAATCTTCTAAGTTTAAGGTGTATGCTGAAGAAGTTGTATAGCAATTAAGTTTTGTGTTCCCCGGTTAAACTTGTGAATGTTTTGCCTGAATGCAGCGGTTAAGAGAGAAAAGACGTGAGAAACGTGCTGCTGATCTGGTGAAGCAGGATGATGAAACTATTTTGAAACTCGAAAATGCTGCAATTCAGCGCTCTAAATCAGTTGACTCTGCAGTTTTGGGGAAATATAATATCTGGAGGAGAGACAATGACAATGAAAATGCCGATTCTACTGTGCGTTTAATGCGAGATCAAATTATTATGGCCAGAGTGTATATTGGCATTGCTAAGTTGAAGAATAAGATGGAATTGTCTCGTGAACTTCAGAATAGGCTTAAAGAGAGCCAGCGTGCCCTAGGAGAGGCAACTAATGATGCTGATCTTTCTCGCAGGTAAAATAATGTTAAGAGATTTTTATATCTCGATTTACTATAGTTCCCCCCTCTTTCATTTTGTGGGTTTTTTTTTTTTGTTTTGATGAATGTTTTTAATTCCAGTGCTCCTGAGAAGATTAAAGCTATGGGTCAAGTTCTTTCAAAAGCTAAAGAACAACTGTATGATTGCAAGCTGGTGACAGGAAAGCTGAGAGCCATGCTACAATCTGCCGAGGAACAAGTGAGAAGCTTGAAAAAACAGAGCACTTTTCTGAGCCAGTTGGCAGCCAAGACTGTTCCTAATGGAATTCATTGTCTAGCTATGCGCTTAACTATTGATTACTATCTTCTTCCTTTAGAGAAGAGAAAGTTCCCTCATAGTGAAAATTTGGAAAATCCTAAGCTTTATCACTATGCACTTTTTTCTGACAATGTCCTTGCTGCCTCTGTGGTCGTGAACTCCACTATCATGAATGCTAAGGTAAACTTGCTGCCTTCTTTACCTAGATATCCTCAGATTTGTTTTTCTTTTGGTTGTGGGAGGTGCTACACTATTCTCGCTTACCATGGCTAAAGTGTGGGGTTTACAACTTACAAGCCACTTGTTGCAATGCTCCCTGCTTTTGCAGTCTTATTGAATGAATATTGGCTGCAATGATTTTTGAATGATACAATTATTGATGTTTAACCCCGTTTGATGGTATCTTTTGGAATGGATTACAGGAGCCAGAGAAACATGTTTTTCATCTTGTTACTGATAAGCTCAATTTTGGTGCAATGAATATGTGGTTCCTTTTGAACCATCCTGGAAAAGCCACTATCCACGTTGAAAATGTTGATGAATTTAAGTGGCTGAACTCGTCATATTGTCCAGTATTGCGTCAGCTTGAGTCTGCTTCCATGAAGGAATATTATTTCAAGGCAGATCATCCAACTACAATTTCATCTGGGGCATCCAATTTGAAGTATAGAAACCCAAAGTATCTATCTATGCTTAACCATCTAAGGTTCTATCTTCCCCAGATCTATCCAAAACTAGATAAGATTCTGTTTCTAGATGATGACATTGTTGTTCAAAAGGATTTGAGTCCGTTGTGGTCAGTGGACCTTCATGGGAAAGTTAATGGTGCTGTGGAAACTTGCGGAGAGAGCTTTCACCGATTTGATAAATATTTGAACTTTTCTAATCCACATATATCCAGAAACTTTGACCCTAGTGCATGTGGATGGGCATATGGCATGAATCTTTTTGATCTCAAGGAGTGGAAAAAGAAGGATATCACCGGCATATATCACAAGTGGCAGAATATGGTAAAGTCTTTTTCTTTTCTTCTACGTCTTTAGCTGTTAGGTTGTTCAGTGAAGCATGGTTACATGTGTATCTGGATAACTATGTCGATACACATAAAGATAAGAGATTGTTTCATGAAATATGATTTAGTTGATCTCAAAGTATGACTCTTTTAAAGTCATATATGCCTAAGGCCCTAACTAGCATTTGTGGTATTATAGTTGATTTTCTTTACTTTTAATTGTCACATGCTGTCTACTTCCAGTTCTTCACTTTCATGTTAGTGCTAAGTATATTTTGAAACGTAACATCATGTAGAGCATTTATATGACTGGATAACCCTTGTATATTGAATTATTTCTTTTTTTATTTTTTTGGTGTTGTTGCCGCAATCTGTGTGGCTCCAAATCTGAAATTAACTGGAATCTAATCTTAGCACATGATGACTTGTACAGAATGAAGGTAGAACACTCTGGAAGTTGGGTACGTTGCCTCCTGGACTTATTACATTTTATGGGCTGACTCATCCACTTGAGAAGTCTTGGCATGTGCTTGGTTTGGGGTACAATCCTAGTATTGACAGGTCTGAGATTGAAAAAGCAGCAGTTGTGCATTACAATGGTAATATGAAGCCATGGTTGGAGATTGCGATGACAAAGTATCGATCATACTGGACAAAGTACATCAAGTATGATCATCCCTATCTCCGAAGATGCAACTTGAGTGAATGAAATCACATTGAGATGGAATAGCGATAGTAAGTCAATGTGCTTGTCCCGTGCTCTCCTTCACCTTGAATGGAGTTTTGTTTTTTTTTTTTGTTTTTTTTTTTTTTTTTTTTTTTTGTGGAATCTAATTTGAAGGGCTTGGTGAGGCTGAGGTTACTGGCACAAGAAGGGGCATGCTTCAGTTTTAATGAGCTGCATATCCTTCTCCGTTTCCCACATTGTTTATTCTTTTATCTAATTCAGTCTAATCTGTACCCCATTGTTCTTTATTCTCTGTGGAAAAAATTTGAGAGGTCTATTGTATCATTAACCTGGTAAGCAAACTTTCATGTAACGATTTTAGTTGGTCTAAGATTTAGGACCAGAACAGGATTATGCTGTATTCTTTGAACATTGCACAACAGATCTGTAGATCTTATAATCTGTAACACCTGTATTTTTTTTCGTTTACTTCGTAATTTATTGAGAAGTTGCCTTCAATTGTCTGCTTTGCAATCTCCTTTACCGGGCAATATATTTAGCACGGGCTTGTATGATTTGTGGCTGTTTAACAACTCAACACAGGGGCAGAGTACTGGATTAGTTTTAGTAAGTACTATAACATGTGATGAACCTGACACTATGGGTCAATGGTTTTCAACTTGTATGACTTAATCCATCAACATCCTTAACCTGTTTTGGCCGTTCGTTTACATTGGATTTGTGGTAGCCTTGAGTTGATTAAGAAAGAAGACATATACGCAATCAGTTAATTTATCAGTATAAAAAGCAAAGTGGATGAAACCAACTACCCAAATGTTCTTTCGGGGTCTTGTGGGTTCCATGGGATGCTCCCCATCCTATTTATTTTCCGAGACCGAAAAAGTAAGAAATTTTCCAAAAATGAAGGCATAAAAGTTAGTTTAGAACGACCATAGCAGACATAGCAAGAGGTATATAAATCCTAATTATGTGTTTGATTCAAGTATATGCCCATTTCAAATTTTTGTTATAAAAATGGTAGTCAAAAGGTACAATACTTCATTCACCAATTAAATATCTTAGGGCCCTATTGAGAAGTCGGGAATCCTTCATTGAGTTATTGAACCGAAACTCACCCAATATTTACTATTGTTGATGCATGCATGGGTTGTTTATACTATATTTGTACACACAGATTAACTTATGCAATGATAGAGAGATCACATACTTAGAGAGTTAAAGTGCCTTTTTTTTTTTAATTAAAGAGTTAAAAGATCGAGTAATGAGAATCGATCTTAATATTTCCTGATATCGGGAAAGAAACTCTTATCACTTGAGCTATTCCCCACTCTTAAGTGCACATCGTATGATCTCCTTCATCAATAGGCGATGATTTATATGGATACGAATCAATCCACTCGGCAATTAAAGATGAGATGACTTTAACTAGATTGGTAACAATCCTAAAAAGGTTTTGATGTGATTTTCTTCACAGGCTTTCTTTGGGACACCCAAGAACTCCACTTAAATTATGCTGAGGTTCTTACAGAAGAAAGTTTTGAGTGGGAGCCAGGTTTTTAGCAAGAACTAAATTCCAAAATATTTCCAATCTATTCATACACGTGGCAAATCAGGATAGGTGTACTTGTCAATGCTGCGTGACCCTGCTTGAAAAATTGGAACCACGGTTGCTGTTGATTTTCATGGCTTACAACAACCATTTTCCCGTACTATATATATCCCTTCATGGCTTCATGACATCATCCTTGTTAGTGCATTTACGACTTGCGAGTATATTTATTTGGCAATCTTTTATTCTCATGATCAACTTTGTGTTTAGCTTAGCTTAGAGTGACTCGCAAAATATTAACCAAAACTTTTCGAATTTTGGAAGTCTTTATTCAGCTCGACTAGTACTAATGCTTTGAGATTCGATCATTTGAAAATTTGAATTACAACTAATACTGTTTTTTGACTCATTTGCTCTGACAAATAGGAGTGTGATTTATGTGGTTATTTCATACGTTTACTTGATTATATTTTTTTTCTTAAAGTGTGTGTCAAAGTAGTGTGTTGCAAGTAAATAAAAATAGAGAAAGTATCTTCCTTCGGAAAAAAGAAATATGTTGTTGTATAAGTATAATATTGTCCAAATCTTTAACATTAATCCATAATACATGTCATATAGATAGAGCAAACAGAGGAGGACGAAATTAATAAGCATGTATGTTAGTCATGCATCACTATATTAATTAGTGGGAAGTGACTTGAAATAAGATAGTAATAGGTGCTTACTCCAAGTAAGTAACAACCTAACGTACGACTATATATCCTTTGATTTTGTTTGCCAACCAACGTATTCAAACACCAAAGATAGAATAATAGACTTATTGTCATGGCATGCAAGATATGACTCTTTCCTGTGATCTTTGTCGTGCTAAACCATGACTTGTAGGAAGACAATACGTATTGTTTTGGAGAATAAGTTGGGAATTTTTTTTTTTCATTATTAATTCTTTAAATTATGTATTTAATACTTGTAGTACTTATTGTTTCGGAGTGAAAATAATAGGTCCTTCGTTTGGACCTTTCTTGTGGATTGAAAACTGGACTCGGCCCAAGTGATGACGGGGACGAGAATTTCTTGCACAACAAACACACGTAAACTGACCTCGGGGGTTGTGCCGAGAAAGGCCCCTCCGATGCCGAAGTCAGTACCGTGTTTTAGAGAGAGAAAACTATGTAAGAGTGTTAATTGCTTGAGGCTTGAAGTGAATGAATGTAGAGAGAGGAGAATGAAGACTTTTATACCTTACTCAATAGATAAATGGGCTTTGAGATCAAATGGGCTTGCCATGTTGACTGGGCCTTTGACTGACTTGGCATTTGTTTGGAAAGTTGAACCTTGCTTTGGGCTTTGTAATTGAGCCATTTATGGACTGACCCAATTTAAGTAAATTGGACCCAAACAACTTGCCCCCAAGACCCGATTAGGAAGCATGATGAAACGGGTTTGACTTGCAAAATGGAGGGAAGTGAATGGCTTAATTAACATTTAAATTTGGAGGTTATTGAGGCAACAACGGTTATTTTTCAAATTAATTGGGAAGTAGGACAGTTTAGTGGGCGGTTAATTAGAGAAGCATATGAACTGTGCTGCAGAGCATTGAAGTGGAGTTAGTGGAAGTTTTAGTGGCGCGGATTCCCAAAATTCCCATTTCCGGAAGGTACTTAAGCCACTCATCCCATTTTCTTTCCTTATTTCCTTTCGCTAATTTCATTTTGCTTCTCGCTAATTTCCACCATTAAACTGCTTTTCCTTTTCCCGCTTATTCTCAGCAATCCGAAGCCTTAAACTGAAATTCGTTGCTCCAAACTTATAGATCGGCGAATTTCGCGTCTGGTAAAGGTAATTATCTTGAAATTTTCTTTGGCTTTCTTTGCTTTTTCAAACACCCCTCTTTCTCCGACTTCTTGAACCACTGCCATTTGAAATGGCCGGCGATCACGGGAAGAGAAAGGCTGAGGCTAGTGAAAATGTTGAGGAAGAGGAGGAGGCTCCTCAGCTAATTTTGCGGCGAAACCGCCCCTTGGGGTTAATGGCACTGCTCAGCGACCAGAATCCAAGGGCGAGGACCGGCGCTACCGCCGCCTCTAGTGGTTCTACTATCCAGGCTATCTTGATAAGCTCTTTGCCCCCGAGGGCTTCGAGGTCGACTAGCACTTCTGGCCGAAGTGCCGGTTCAGCGTCTCGGACATTGCCTCCCGAGGAAAGGGAGTGGTTGGATCCAGCCTATAACTCGGGCATTATGGCCTATTGACCCTACAATTGGTGGATTGAGAACAATGCTGTGTACCGCTTTGCCGAGCAAATCGAGATTTGCAACGGGATTATGAAGTCTGACGAGTATTGGTGCCGAATGCCTACTTCGGCTGAGAGGATTCACCGTGTTCCCCCAGGCTATATTGGGGTTTACTTTGCATTACGGGCTTCGGTTCCTGCTTCATTCTTTCATTACCTCGGTGCTGAACGGGTATAACATTTCTTTGTGCCAGTTGACTCCCGTGAGCATCCGAAGGATAATGACCTATCTTTGGTCTGCCTGTTTCTTGGGTTTTGGCCGAACGTTTATTGCTTTCACAATATGCATAAGTTGGTCCGGAATACTCAGGAAAACCGATTTCATGGCCCTGGTTGGTGGCAGATCGAAGACAAAAGGGGTATCTTTCGGTCTGGCCAAACGACACCTCGGACAAAGACTGGAGGGGTCAATGAATCTGGGTGAGTGCACCCCAAGACGAGGATCACCCTAACTTTTTTGGTGCGCCAAGATATTTGAGGCGCCCCGATCCGGAGATGAAGAGCATCGGTCCTGCTAAATTTTTCGATGCAGACCGAATGTAGATGGCGCATTTTGGCCGATCTCCTGGCCAGGGGGCCACAGGCCGAATGGCGAATGTGCCCTCTGTCTGGCTGCCTTGTTGCCATTATATCTTCCAAGAGAAGATCCTAGCTTTCGTCGACCTCAGCCGAAAGTAGGGGTGTTAAAAAAAACCCGACCCGGTTGTCCCGTCCCGATTACCCGATGGCCCGCAAAAAACCCGATGGGAAATTGACAATTTTTTCTGTTTTTTTCGGGTAGGGTACCCGTCTCGCTAAAATAGAGGTTTCGCAGGCCGGGACATGGGATAGACTTTGTTAATTTCGGGTACCCGGATACCCGTTAAAAAAAAAAGGTTAAAAAACGTCTGCCAGAGTGGCAGGTTTAGTAACTCTCTTCTTCTCTTTCTTCATGTTTATTATGGGAGGTAACGTATGCCAATTGCCATTACCCAGCCTATTGTCCCTATCTTCTTCTCTTTCTCCTCTTTCTCTCTCCTTTTTCCCTTTAACCAAAATGAAGGTTTTAATGGTCAAATTCGACCATGAACACTATAGATCTAGAGTTTTCATGGTCAAATTTGACCGTTTTAAACCAAATTTGATGTGAAATTCAAGGCCATTTTCGGTTTAAAAGGTATGCTTTCTTGTTTTTAATTTTCTTTCTTTTTTTTTTTGAATTTTTAATAAATCCATTTATATGATATGATTTCTGGTAATTTTCGTGCTTGTTTTGGTAAATTTCATTATTTTTGTTAAAAATTCTAGTGGTGGTGGTTTCGGTTTAGTGTGCATGGGGTTTGGTTGGGTTGGTTTGTTGGTGTTTGTTGTTACTGGGTGACGCGGCAATTTATGCGTTTGTTGTTGTTGCAGTTTGTTGTTATTGTTGGGTTGGTGAATTGGGTCGGGAAGGTGACGCAGGTGGTGGTGGTGGTGGAGAGGGAAATGCAGTGGAGGAGATAAAGGCGAGTGGTGGCGAAGTGGGTGGTGGGGGTGGTGAAGGAGTGCGCGAGTTTGAGTTGGTGGGAGGTTTTGGTCGTGGATCTGGGTTAGTGGGGGGTTTGGTGGTGGTGGAGTGAATTTAGGTGGTGGATGGTGGTGGTGATAGAGTCAATTTTTTTTTTATAAAAATATCAAA